TAAAATGGGGATGATAATCCATCTCTCACTGGGATGTCATGAAGATTAATTAGCTAACATGCATAAAGCACAGTATAAGTAACATAGGGTCAAAAGTTTACCTTCAAAGAGTTGGCAGGTTACAATTCAAATACAATGGTGTGTTCCTAATACCAGTGGGGGGATTTCATGAATCTACACAAAATTAAAAGGACCAAATTATTCAAGCTTGGTCTCACTATAGATCTTAAAAACCTTCCCCCTTGGTCAATGTACACCACAGAGCTGCGTGTCTGTCTTCTGTCTCATGGATCAAGTCAGCATAAACTCTTGTTATTGTCTTAATATAAAGAGGTATGGCTAGATGCTGAGGAACCTGGATTCCCCAGTCAGAGGTCAGACCCTGGAAAGGTCAGACTTCCCAACACAAGGAGGCATCATAGACAGAATAAAGTAGGTGTTTTTATTCAGACTAGTAATCTCTTATATGTATATATTCTGGACTATTTTAGGGCCTTGTATACTTGTGAGGGAGTAAAGTTTTAGAGCCTTGTGTAGAAGAGTTATTTTCTAGCTAGTGCAATGCTCTCTCTATATGCAATGGGGTCTCAGTTTCATAACAGTTCAAAGGGCAGTTTGCGGAAATAAAGATCCAAGATATTCAATGATTTTCCCAGTACTTTCCCTATTTAAGCTAATGTACAATGTTGATATATCAGTCACTCAAGGTAGATAAAAGAACAAGAAATACATGATACAATGTGTCCAGAACTTAACGTTGCAGCTGAAATGTGTTCTTGTAACCTCCATCTGAATGTATTAGGGAACAAATTTTGATATACCAGCATTCCAATTTCAGGAGATACTTCTGAATTCTGAATAATCAAAGTTTACCTTAAATAAATTAATCTATATTATAGCCCACCACCAAATAACTTGAATGCAGTAATAGAGACATACATGGGACATGGTAATAAGATACCCCTGAATGTTCTTCTAGGAGGTATGAGGTGAGAGTAAGAGTCACTCTTGCTGTAAGAAAGGACTGAAATAGAACGTACAAGTTTCAGATCAAGATTGCCCAGATAAGAAATGACTAGCTGTCTTAGTTCTGTAAACATGTATGTTCAGAAACTGTCTTCAGACATTTGGAGAAGAAAACTTACAAATATGAAATCCTACAGATGCAAATAAAAAGACAAAAGTATGTAAATCTGCTGTAACATTCAATGTTTCCTCAGGCAACAATTTCCTCGAAATACTGATGAAGATCTGGACCCAACTTTTAAGTCAAAAGAGACAGAACCACCTGCTGAAGTGTTTGCATCCTGCTCCCAAGGTAATAATACTAGCCATGCTTAGCTCCACAATCTCATGCTTAATAAAGCCTGCTGTCCTCTCACATTCCAGTCCATGCAGGAGTGGTGTTGGAGTCTCTCTCTATTTTTTCTATTACCTATATAAAATGAAATCTGAGCCCTCATTAACCTAATGTTCCCACTATCCCACATGTGCCATAGTTTGTGGTAGGTCCACTTATGTACAAAGTCCAATGCTCACATGTCTCTTATGATAGGATTCCTCATCAGCACTGGATTGCTAGTGTACAGTTGGTAAATCTGAAGAAATTATATATGGGGAAACAGTAACTGTGCCTGTAAACAATGACTTGACAAAAATTGGAGGAGTGATAAAGAGGATAGGTGACTGATACATAGCAATCTGGATCACTTGGTAAACTGTGCAAGCAAACAATATCTGTTTTAATATGATTAAGGGTAAAAGTATATATTTAGGAATAAAGAATGTAGGCCATACTTACAGAATGGTGGGGGTGGGGGAGACTCTACCCTGGGAAGCAGTGACTCTGAAAATGATGTGTGGGCCGTGGTGGATAATCAGCTGAAAATGAATTCAATGCTGTGGCCAAAAGAGCTAATGCAATCCTGAGATGTATAAACAGGGGAATCTTGAATAGGAGTTGAGAGGTTATTTTACCTCTGTATTGGGCACTCGTGTGATCACTGCAGGAATACTATATCCAGTTCTGGTATCAACAATTCAAGAAGGATGTTGATAAATTTGGAGAGGGATCAGAGAAGAGCCACAAGAACGATTCAAGGATTAGAAAACATGCCTTATAGCAATAGATGCAAAGAGCTCAATTCTATTTAGTTTAACGAAGAACGGTTAAGGTGTGACTTAATTACAATTTATAGGTACCTACAAGGGGAACAAATATTTAATAATGGGCTTTTCGGTCTACCAGAGAAAGGTATTATATAACATGAGCCAATGGAAGTTGAAGCTAGAAAAAATTCAGATTGAAAAATAAAGTATAAATTTTAACAGCATAATTAACCATTGGAACAATTTATGAAGGGTCATGGTGGATACTCCATCACTAGCAATTTTTAAATCAAGATTGGATGGTTTTCTGAAAGATATGCTGTAGAAATGATTTTGGGATAGTTCTGTGTTACACAGGAGCTCAGACTCGATGTTCATAGTGGTCCCCTTCTGGTCTTAGAATCTCTCCCATTCTTTCAAATAACACTTTTTAAATGAGGAATTTACACCTGTAACCCGGGACACCTAGTGGCTCATTTTAGTCCTCCTGCCATTTCTAGTGCAGCTGGAGTTATTCATTCTATTCCTTCTTTTTGCAGCTGCCCAGTCACACACTGTTCCAGTTGATAGCCTCTTTGATTATCAGACCTGCCTTTATTTCACCGACCAAACGTCAGCCTGAAAAGCTAGGACACCAAAAATCCAGGGACAAGAAGGAAGGCTGTAAGCAGCAGTGAATCCTAGAGCCTACTTCCTCTAGCAACAATAAAATATATTTCTTCGTCATAGCTGTGAGTTGAATGATGACTCCTTCTTCCTGTCTTAATTACCAATGGCCAGATCTACATAATGCAATTCCTTCCCTGTTCAAGGTTTGCTTTATTACTTTGGTGGAGCCTTTTACTGAACTCAGGTGAATGCACAGAGGTTGCTATTCCTGTGTGTTAATGGACATTGAATCGTCATAGTTGCTGTATATTAAAATTCAGTTTTAAATGAAAGTTTAACTCTGGGAGAAGTAATTTGTCATGTTGTTGTTAATACAATCAGGGATGAATCCAAAAGTCTGCATGTCACATTTTTCCAGGATCTTTAGGGAGCAAATTGTTTCAAACAATTAGATGTGCCATCATGAATTATTGAGTCAAACCGTGATGCTACTATTGCAGTTGAAATTCAACTGTACAGTATATTACTTGTTTACCTGCCAGTGGGATTAAATCTGAATTCCTTATTTCATCTTGTTAGAATTAAGACTTCAGCACAGCTGCAGTGAGACTAGACGTGCAAATTAATTGCTCATTATATTTTCCTCAATACTGCTTGGACAAACTTACCTCATTTTTTTCAGAAGAGGAGAAAATGTCTTGAAAATATTTTCCAGAAAGTATTGAAGAAACTAAACTTGAAAAGATGTGAACAATAGCTTAACATTTCTCTTGAAGACTGTCATATAAGTTGAGGAGACTGCATGTGATACTGCAAACTGCAGCAGACACTTCTCTGACGTGCTGAAAGGGAAAGGAGCTTTTCAGCTGTGTCTACTATGTACATGATGATAAATGGGGGTTGTTCAAAAGTGCCATTATTTCAGAAGAACAGGTGCTTCTCTGGGATCTAGAGTGAGAACAGGCCATTCATTGTGAATATAGTAAAGGCAGGTACTACTGGAATATGTTCTAGGGAGTACATGAGCCCATGGCTAAAATTTTAATATTTTATAAAAAGACACTTTACAGATTACTATTGATTATTCAAATGCTGTAAAAGTTTTGAGATATGTTAAATATATTTGCTACAGATATTGTTCACTTGAGATTACCTTATTTCCTATAGAGTTGTTTTTGACATGGAGCATATTGAAGTGCAAAGCACATTGTTTAAAATTGGTGCTGTTTTAGTTTTGCACTTTCATGTGTGTTCATTTTCTGCTTCTTGCACCTTTCATAAAATCCAGTAGCACAGGCTGCTGTTCAGCAGTTCTGTTGGCAAATAAGAACGTGTCCCTTGTAGGAAATGCCCTGGTAGTGTTCTGAACCTTCCTTTGCGTTTGTACCATGTGTTAATTTCAAGCTCTTTTTATAAACCTACTTGTAGATGTATGCATTATGCCCTTCATATTTCAAGTTAAATAAAATAGAAGTTTTTAAAATGGAAGTTAGCCAAAAGAGGCTCACAGCTGAACTCCTTGGCCACTTGTTTCTTTCACTGGCTCTGGTTTTCATTCTTTTCTACAGCACCAGAATTGACTAACTAAATGCCCCACATACTAGCCTTTAATTTACTGGCAGAATACTTATGTCACAAAGTAATTTCTACAAATGTTTATTCTTAGAAACACTTTCTACTAGAATCTGCCCCCTAAACTGTCAAGCCCTGTTGAGTCAATTTACTAGTTGAGGATGTGCCCCAAGGACTTTATATTTCAGTTCAATGGAATTTTATATGGAGCTTAAATGCTCAGCATAACACAGAGGACACAAATCAGGTGTGAGAAGTAAATGTCATTAAATCAATCATACGTGGAGAAGAGTTCTATGTGAGCACAAAAGATTCTCTCACCAATCGAAGTTGGTCCAATAAGAGATATTACCCCACACACCTTGTCTCCAAAAATCAATCAATAAACAGCTTGGAAAAAGTACTGTAGTGTGTGTGCAGGAAAGGAAAGGGAATAAGAATTTCAAGTACCTGAAGATATGCATAGAGTTCTGTGTGTCCAAGAGTGAAACTCCAACTGTTGGGGTGCAAGTGTTTTCAGGGAAAACACCACTGCTGAGGTTCTAGATTAGAAACTGATCACAGGGTAATCTGTGACATTCCGAACTTCTTACAAGAGCCACACATTCATTTATAAATAGGGTGGTAGTTTTTTTCCACTCCTTGGCCATTACATCTTAAAACTTGCAAATATGACTTTTGTTTGTCAACACATTAATTGAGAGGAGAAAAAAATATAGGAAAAGTTTTATTTTTTTAAAAAAATCTTATTTAAATATATGTAAATATGTAAATTTTCAGGCAAGGCTTCAGTTCCAGACTCTTCTTTTCGTACATTTTGCTTTGTAATCAATTATATATAAATTTAATCAAAACCAGCGAGTGTGGGTTTGGTGAAAAATTACTGCTACATAAGGCTTCTCTTGCATGGAGGGAGTGACTGGGCTCTCATTCATCTGCCAGAAGGAATGTATCTTGCCTAGTTTAAAAAACAAACCCACCAAAACCAGTCTTTACATGACATGTTGATTTAGTTGACTTTCATTATATTTTTGAATAACATTTAATGAAAAAATATAATATACATTTATGGTGCTGTAAAAGGGTACAATTATCACTGCCAATGCCATGACTCAAACATACACATTCTTATTCAAATTAAAAGCAATAGTGACTGATCAAGGCAGATACATTTTCTGCCACGAAAATATTTCCAACATCATAGTTCTACCTATGAAATTAGCAACATAGTAAGTTATATTTTACATGTACTGTACCTGCAATATATGTACTGTATTTAACATATCCAAAAATCAGAGGGTAATATTCTAAGATCAAAAGGATGAAGCAGTCCAGTTGCACTACTCACAGATCAAATTAATAACCTGTCACAGTGTATCCCAGGGGCGGGCAAACTTTTTGGCCTAAGGACCACATCTGGGTATGGAAATTGTATAGTAGGCCATGAATGCTCACAAATTTGGGGGTTGGGGTATGGGAGGGGGTGAGGGCTCTGGCTCGGGGTCTGTGGTGGGTCCAGCAATGAGTTCAGTATGTGAGATGGGGCTGTGGGGGGCGGGCTCTGGGGTGAGGCTGGGACCAAGGGGTTCGGAGGACAGGAGGGAGATCAGGGCTGGGACAGAGGGTTGGGGCGTGGGAGGGTGACAGGGGTACAGGCTCCAGGTGGCACTTACCTCAAACAGCTTCCAGAAGCAGCAGCATGTCCTCCCTCCAGCTTCTACACGGATGTGCAGCTAGACAGCTCTGCACACTGCCCCCTCCGCAGGTGCCGCCCGTGGCCGTAATTCCTGGCCAATGGGAGCTGCGGGGGCAGTACTTGGGGTGGGGGCAGCATGCGGAGTCTCTTGGCTTCCCCTATGTGTAGGAGCTGGAAGGGGGACATGCTGCTGCTTCTAGGAGCCGCGCGGAGCAGGGCAAGCCACGGACTGGGGCAAGTCCTGGACCCTGCTCCCCGGCAGGAGTTCAAGGGCTGGATGCGGCCCCTGGGCCGTAGTTTGTCCCCCCCCCGCCGGTGTATCCACGCCACCTACAAAGCCAATCAATATAACAGCTATTTGGAAAGCACAGAAAAGGTGTTCTGAGACATTTGACAACCCTGACTTACCATATTCCTTTTAACTTCTAACTAAACTGGAATAGGAAAGCATTCTGTAGGGCAGGATATAGAAGTTCATTCCCAGGGCGTGAGGGCTTCTGGGAGTTGAAATAGTATCAGTCTAGATTTTTATACCACACCCATCAGTGTGATAGCTGAGCACAAATTAGGAGGGTCTATAGTTCCAGACATGAAATGTATTGGAAAGAGCAAAGTTGTGGAAGCTTGTACACTGGCTGCCTGCACCGTACCTAGCTGTAGTCAGTGTTTAGTCTGTAACTTCAGGAACATTATTCTCACTCCCAAACTTTAATAAGTAAGCTATAGCATAGACATCTACTAGAGGTAACAGAAGAGCAGTTTGGCTTGTGGTTCCTGTATTATTGATGCTTTTTAGTCTTTAGAGCAAATCATAATATTTTAGAAATAATATTCTCAGCATATGAAAAAAAGTTAGCAAGTTTGCTTTCATTTTAAAGATGCTGCCCAGAGAGTTTAATTAGAATTAGAGATGTTGGCAAGGGCTAATTTTTAAAAAGGTGTGTGGCTTTATGTTTGTTTTTTTAGTTTTTATTTTTAAAAATATAGAGACCAACTCTTCTGTCTGTAGGACAGTGATGTACTGAGAAAGACCTGCTTCATCCACCACCGACTGCATTGTTCAGTCCATAAGTTTTAAAATTCACTTAACCTGCTTCTGCTTCCCCTCCCCCCCTTACCCCCATTATGTAACCAGGCTCCTGTCCTGTGCTCTGAAAGGAAACCACAATTGGCTTCCTTAGAAAGTCCAGTTTCTAATTCACCAAGGAATCCTTGAATAGTTTGGATTTGCTACAGTCATCACAGTCTCCTTGTTCTTCCTCTGGAAAGCGGCAGCTGCAGGCATCCTCCTCCTGAGTCGATTGCTCAGGTGTTACATTCACTAAACAGAAAGAGATGATTAACTTGAATTGCATTTTTTAATCACTCATATTTCATTTTCCCTCAGCAGGGACTGCATAGTGTTAACAAGTTCTTCAGAATTATTCAGTTATTTGCCCTGAAATTGCCTTTTTCTCCAAAGATATTTCCTGGTAAGTTAGTCTATTGTGCTTTGCTTTCTCCAATGCACAGGAGGCTCTCATTGAGGTGAGGAGAGCTGGCGGCATGGAATCTCCAGACTTCAGAGAACAATATTGCTTTCCCCTGTAGATTGAAATACCACTATTGGCACCAAATGTGTGGATTTATTCTAATCCATATATGAAACCCTATCAGTTCAAGGGTTGATTTTACTCATAATTTCTTTAATGAAATTTCTACTAATGGAAATAACCAGCAGAGATTTAAATATACACACACAGTCAACTGCTGTTTGACTACAACAGAACATGTACATGCTTAATTCTACTTTTCCTACCCAGCCCATGAACGTCTCATGGTTGAAATATCGGATTTTATTTTCAGCTGATACTTCAAAGTGTGTGTGTACATGTACACATATACACACATACACTATATATATATAATATATAGTTTAGTTTAGTGCCAACATGGTAACAGTGTACCCAGGTTCTCCACTCCAAAGAGCTTACAATTTGAATGGACAGAAAATATAAACATTTTCAGGACCAGCTTCAGAAACCCATGTGTGTCTGTATGTCCTCCTCCTAACCTTTTGCCCAGTGGTTAGGGCACCTGACAGACCACTTTGCATCATGAAGAGAGAAGATTCTAGTTTTCATAGCCTGCCTCCCAAGTGAGTGCCTTAATCACCAGGCTATAAAGTCATTTTCACTTTCTCTTTGGCCCAATGAATATTTAAGTAGTTAATACGTAGTGGAACAACTTCAACAGGAGAGATTGAGAGCAACACACAGAATAGCCTATAGCCTGGTGCTTCAGATGCTCATTTGGAAGGGAGGAGATGTGAGTCTGAGTCATTGCTCCACAGCGTGGATTCAAATGTGGTTCTCCTCCATCCCAGGCAAGTGCACTAAATCACTGGGATAAAGGTTAAAAGGGGACAAACATGGATGGACACACACGATTTTCTGACTGAAATGAAACAGATGATCCAAAATAGACTCTTTCAATTTGCATACAAATTCTGAACATTTTCTGAACTGAACCAATTTTTTTTTCTGATTTTTAATTTGCTGGCTGACTCCAAAAAATAAATTACTCACCCAGCTCCAGTCACTCCCAAATCCCAAAGGGCCCCGGGAGACCTCCTTTGTAACATTTCTAAAGCCAATTTCTTCCCAATAGCCTGCTTTTTTTTTTTTTAAATAAAAATCTAAAACCTGGTTTTCTTTTCACAGTGTAGTGACTTTCAAAGAACACATTTAAGTTCAACTATGCTGCTACTTTTTAAGGAAACTCTTAAACCTGGATTCTTGCCTGCTTGCCCACACTAGGAAAAGGAAGATTGTAGGTAGCATGTCTTACTTTTCTTGAACATAGCAGGTAGTTTCTTTTTGTCGCAGATGTTGAGGCACACATACAAAGGTAGCAGAAACATTATGCACACTACCACAGCCCCAGTAACAGCGATGCCGATGGTGACCACCTGAAGATCCTTCCCTAAGAAGCAAAAACATTCCTTAAAAATGATTGCAGAGCAAAGCTCCCCTGCAATGGAAGCAGCTGGATTATTTGTCCCTGAACAACTAGAGCTACTTTTCTTTTTGCTTCTACTGCTTAGAGTTGCTGCTGCTGTACCAATCTGTGAGACTGGAGACAAATAAAAGGACCCTTAAGTTCAGTTATAAGCATGAGAACTATAGTTTAGCTAATTCCAAGACAAGTTGTAACTATTTCACTCTAGTGGGGAATTATTATGCAATAACTCACCTTGTACATGGATAGGGACTATGATGGAAATGGTGGCTGGAGTCATAGTTTCTGAAGCTTGTCCGCAAACCACATCACTCCTATTAGTCCCATTCACCAGGACCTTATCTGGAAGGCATCTTAAATATGTTTAAAAAAAAAAAAGAATGTATGAAAATGAATTAAACGCAGACCTCAAAGCTATAATCACTTATTTTTTAAAAAAAAAGTACTTACTTTGTCCATTGTCTGCAGGGACCATTGGTCTGATTGTTAAATGTCCCATTGGGACACTTTTGGCAACCTTTGACAAATACAAATGTTACCAATTATATAAATTGACGTTTAAAATGGTACAAGAGACATTATTGTACAGCTGAGCAAAAATAATGTTGCATTTATATATCAATTTTCATCATCAATGGCTTGTATAAACAAAAATGTGAGGATAGGTAAAGTTCTTATATTAACTAAAGTAAATATTTTCATAAGTGGCTTTCATTGTAAACAAGTTGATTGAGGTCCCTGAACTGAAAGAACTGACAGAACTAATTCTGTTAATGTATTTCAAGATACTGAAGAGTCAACTAGCATCCTATGAACTGTGCCCCAAGGCCAGAATGTCTCTATTCTTGCTATTCCAGAGTTCTGCAAGTATCTTTTCTTTGTCACTCGTATTCTAAAGGACCAAGGCCTATGTTTCTGGCCCTACCAAATTCACAGCCATGAAAAATGCGTCATGAACCGTGAAATCTGGTCTCCCACCATGAAATCTGGTCTTTTGTGTACTTTTACCCTATACTATACAGATTTCACAGGGGAGACCAGCCTTTCTTAAACTGGGGGTCGTAACCTAAAAGGGAGTTGAGGGTTGTCACAAGGTTATTTTAGGGAGGTCATGGTATTACCACCTTCACTTCTGTGCTGCCTTGAGAGCGGCACCTGTTGGCTGGGCACCCAGCTCTGAAGGTAGTGCACCTGCCAGCAGCAGTGCAGAAGTAAGGGTGGCAATGCCATACCGTGCCATCCTTACTTCTGCGCTGCTGTTGGCAGCGGCTGTGCCTTCAGTGCTAAGCTCCCGGCCAGCAGCTGCCACTCTCCAGCAGCAGCACATACCCCCAACCCTACAATAACCTTGCGATGGCCCGCCCCCATACACACACACCCCCCTCCATTTTTGGTCAGGACCCCTACAGTTACAACACTCTGAAATTTCAGATTTAAATAGCTGAAATCATGAAATTTATGATTTTTAAAATCCTATGACCATGAAATTGACCAAAATGGACTGTGAATTTGGTAGGGCCCTACCTATGTTAATGGAGTTTTACTGAGCTAATGGACCAGCAAATAATACAATAAGGCCTCAGTTCTGCAAACAGTCACATGGTCTTTTCTACTATTATTAGCACCTAAGAGTTTGGCATAAAGTAATGGGACAAAGGCAGCCTTACCTTCTTCAAGAGGCTCTTCACCTACTCCACAGTTTTCTACACATTTAGAACAGTCTTTTCCAAAACAGCGATGCCCATTGTTACATGCACATTCTGCATCCACTGTTGGAGAACACTCCCTTTTATATTTGAATTTTCCTGTAGAGCAAAAACAGATATCCCATACTGGCACTCACTCCTCAAAGCATCTGGGTCAGAAACAAGCCCATCCTAGTAAAACATCATAATAGGGAGCTGTGATGAGTAGAGGGACCTCCTGCCTATTTGCTTCAGAGGATTCAAGCTAAGAGTGCAGGCCAGAAAAGTGCAATGGATGCACCAAACTGATTTTCACTTTGGCAATTGATTTTCTTTTTAAAGTTAACTTTTTTTCCCCCTTTTTGGTAATACAGGGGTATCCAAACTGGGCCCAGCTGAGGGCCTTATTACAAAGCCCTTGTGACAGCTAGGTACCAAATTTTTGCTTACATACTTAATATAGTCACAAAAATACAGCCATGCACTTCTGACTCACACACAAAACAGGAGCTGGAGTATGTTGGCATATCTACCTTTCCACAATTTTATTTCCAAGTGAACCTTTGCATGGGGGAGGAGGTGGTAGCAGAAGGGACACCATACATAGATATACTGTTTAAAAGGCCCATGGATCCAGACATTATTAATCATGTACCAAGAGTGCGCTTAGCCTAGCTTCCAAGGCTAAACAATTCCATTTACAGCTCAATGTCTGTGTACGCTACACCCTGCTATGCTCAAACATCTACTAGAACAGGGATGGGCAAACTATGGCCTGTGGGCCACATCTGGCCCACCGGCCATTTTAATCTGGCCCTCAAGCTCCTGCTGGAGAGTGGAGTCTGGGGCTTGCCCCACTCCGGCACTCCAGCTGGGGCTCAGGGGCCACTCCACACAGCACCCAGAAGCAGCGACATGTCCTCCCTCCAGCTCCTACACGTAGGGGCAGCCAAGGGGCTCTGCTCCACAGGCTGCCCCTGCCCAAGCGCCGCCCCGCAGCTCCCATTGGCCAGCAACCGCAGCCAATGGGAGTTGCAGGGGCAGCACCTGGAGATGGGGCACACACAGCAGAGCTGCCTGAACGCACCTGTGTGTAGGAGGCGGAGAAGGAACATGCTGCTGCTTCTGGGAGCTGCTTGAGGCAAGCATCGCCTGGAGCCTGCACCCCCCCAGGCCCCAACCCCCTGCCCTGATCCCCCTTCCGCCCCCCAAAGCGCTCAGTCCCAGTCCAGAGCACCCTCTTACACCCCAAACCCCTCATCCCCAGAGCCCTCACCCCACACCCTGAACTCCTCATTGCTGGCCCCACCCTGGAGCCAGCATCCCCAGCTGGAGCCCACACCCCAACCTCAATTTCCTGAGCATTCCCTGCCCGCCATTCAATTTCCATAGGCAGAGGTGGCCCTCTGGCCAAGACGTTTGCCCGCCCCTCTACTGGACGGACCTGTGGGGGCAGCAGGTTAGGGAGCCGGGCTACACGAAAGGCAGGACTGTACCTTCACAGCGGCGGCATCTGGTGCACGCCCCCAGTGCACTGGCCGTGGCGGAGAAAGTGCCCGCGGGGCAGGCGCGACACGCGTCCGGGCTCTGCCCACAGTCCGCACAGCTGAGGAACGTGCCTGCGAAGGAGCCAGAGAGATTGGCTGGCCCCAGCCGCGATACCCGGGGCGCTGCGGCACGCCCAGGGGCCGGCCCCAGCGGCCCTCCCGCCGCCCTCCCTGCGCCCCAGGGCACTTACCGGGCGGGCAGCGCTGGGGCAGCGCGGGTGTCGCTGCGGCCGGACCCAGGCTCAGCGCCAGGCCCAGCGCCAGCAGCGCCGCCGTCACCAGAGGAGCGTGGCCGCGGCCCATGGGCGCTGCGGAGAGAGGCTGCTGCGGGGCTGCGCGTCTCGCTGCGTCTGAAAGGCAACACACCGGCCTGAGCCGCCGCTGGGGAGCGCCAGAGCCAGGCCGGCCCCGGCCCCGGCCCCGGCCAGGCCGCCCGGGAGACCCCCTGAGGGGAGTCCCTGGGGAGAAGCCCCGGGGAGAGCCCCGGCGAGCGCCGAGCCGCCCGGCCACCCCTGAGGGGAGCCCGGATGGAGCCCGCCGCGCAGACCAGGCGCCCCATGCCCCCTCCGGGCCACGGCCACGGCCTTACCTGCGGAGCTGGCGACTCCTTCCCGGCCGAGCGCCTCGCGGACTCTGCCGGCGCCGGGCTCCGAGCGGCCCTTGTGTGACCGCCCCCGGGGCGCTGAGTCACCGGCCGAAGGGGGCGGCTCGCGGGAAACCCCCACGCGCCCCTGGGAGCGCGAGGCCGGGGTCGCACCCGCCCACTCGCGAGCTCTGCGCTCTCCCCGGCCTAGCGAGGGTCTTGCGAGGCACCCGACTGCGCCTCTCTCCCGGGCATCACCGCTGCTCAGAGCCGCTCTGCGCCGTCCACCCGCAGATCCCAAAGCGCTCCTCTCGCCCTTCCTGTCACTCCGGCACGCGTAGAAGTCTGGCCGCCCCAGGGGATTTTCAGATGAACCAGCCTCAGCACCAGTGTTTTTTCTGCAAAATCCCCAGAGAAGCCCAGCTATGCAGAGGAAGGGCCCAATGGCAGGAGGCTCAGACACCAATATTATGTCCTCTGGCTTCAGCTTATCTCATCTCACCTTACTATTATTTGTAGTATCAGAGCACCTAGGAGTCCCAGTCTTAGACCAAGTCCCCATTGTGCTAGGTACTGTACAAAACAAACTAAAAAAAGGCAGTCTCTGCTATTGACAAATTGGCCCTCCCATACACTGGGACCCTATGAAGCTTCCCTAAACATAAGTGAGAACAGGCGGCATCCTTGGTTAACTAAAATCTACAACCTTGCCACGCTCTGAAGTACTTGCCCAGATGAGTTTACATATATCAGCCAATATTATAAAAAATCTGTTCCTAAAGATAGGTTCCTAAACACATATTAAATCATTCATTGATGTAAAAATTCATTAATGCAGCTTTAAGGGAATCTGGTGGTGTAATGTGCCTTCTGCAACATCAAGTTCAGCAAAACTCAAACTTCTGAAAACAAGGAAATGCAGAGTTAAGGTATGTGCCCACTAACCTTATCTCTGCCTCCCTGGAGCTAGCAATAGCTCCTGGAAATCATCTGCATACATGACAGCTGCATTTGCTATAGTAGGGTATAGTTGTATTGACTAGTGGAAGGATTAGTTGTAAATGTGATATGAAGTGATCTGGGAGGATGTGTGTTTGAGCCCCTTTCCTGATCCATGTCTGTGTGATCAATGGAAAGAAGTGCATGTGTACCTTGAGAGATTCAGTATGCCTTACTTCAAGTGTGTTGTGTAGGTTGTTAGTAGCAGGGCACAGAAGTCTTTGTGCCAGGGAACTGTCAGCAGTTGGATGGGAGATGAGTGTTGTCTGTGATTTTAATGAAGGGTAAGTGAATATAGTGTTAGATGGCATTGTAGGTAAGGGTGAAAGTGTTGTAAAATGCACTAGATGTGGTGATCTTTCAATGGAGTAGGCTCAGTGTTTGAGGTTAGGACAGATGTAGATAGCTCCTGTACAATGTACAGGCAAGCCTGTGAGTATGTGTATTATCAATATATTGTAGCATCACTCAGAGATGGCAGAATTAAAGTTGAATGGGTGTTAAACTTTGTATTTTCTGATTTTCAAAACTTTAAGGTAGAGTTCTGCTGAACTCGACGATCTGGAAGGGCATGAGATACCACCAGGCAACCTTAACTCAGCATTAGTTAAATTTTTTGTCAATGAATTTCTAGTTTTTTTTAAAAGAAAGAGAAGCGTTGATAGGAGATTGTGGTCATTTAGGCAGTTGTAATTATGTAGGTGTGCAGTTCGGACACTACTGTGGGCAGGTAACAGTAATTATAATAAAAATAATTAATACCTATCTCTTTCATAGCGCTTTTCATCAGTAGGTATCAAAGCATTTTACCAAGGAGGGAAACATCATTATCACCATTGTACAGATGGAAAAACTGAGGTACAGAGAGATGAAAGGGCTCTACATAGCCATCTGCAGCATAGGAGGCTTATAGCGGTGTGAAGTTGCTCATTCATCTCAATGTGATGTTCTCAGCTGAATAAGAACACTCCAGGTAGATAAATGCAGCCCAAAACTATAGCTCTGAAAAATTTGAGCTGTTCCACTTATCTCAGTGGTGCTATCATATCTACTCCCCGATGCCAGTGCTTGAGAACCTGTGATATGCATCGAGCATGCCCATTCTCAACTACTCACTCCAGTCTCAGCAATGTGTTCTTGGTCCATGCTCCCAGCATGCCTATTCTTACCTGGAGGCAGAGCTTCCCCACATACCAGCTCACATAAGGGGACAGGGAGAGGGCCTCAGAGCCCTTTAGAGCAAAATGGGCCCTCAGATCCTGATTATCACATGGGGGACCAGGGAAAGGGGCTCTGACCCCAAGAGGGACACAGCTCCCCAGATCCTTACTATTGCATGGTGTGGGGCAGGAAGAGGAACTCAGACAGCTCCAGAGAGGCAGGGATCTCCCCAGATCCTAATCACATGAGAGGACAGGGAGAGAAGCTCAAACACTCCATAATGGCAAGGTCCCCCAAAATCCCAGCACACATACAGGAAGGGAGAATGTGAGGCTGACAGGCACCCTTTGCCCCAAACCCTCCTGCTCTTCCTGCCACTCAACTCATTGTCACTCCTCCCAGTGTCCCATCTCTGCCCTCCCACTCCCGCTGACAAGAGCCCCAATCCCAAATTTGGATCACGATTGGGGAAGAGCCAAAATGGCTTTTGTAAAGGGATAATGTGGACAAGGATGATCCATTGGATATAGTATACTTTGACTTTTGGAAAGCCTTTGACAAGGTCCCTCATCAAAGTTTCTTAAGCAGATTATGCAGTCATGGGATAAGAGAGAAGGTCCTCTCATGGACCAGTAACTGGTTAAAAGATAGGAAACAAAGGGTAGGAATTAATGGTCAGTTTTCAGAATGGAGAGAGGTAAATAGCGGGGTCTCCAAAGATTTGTAATGGGACAAGTGCTGTTCAACATACTCAAAAATGATCTCGAGAAAGGGGTAAACAGTTAGGTGACAAAGTTAGCAGACAATACAAAATTACTCAAAATAGTTAAGAGACAAGGTGGGGGAGGTAATATCTTTTATTGGACCAACTTCTGTTGGTGAGAGAGACGATCTTTTGAGCTACCCAGAACTCAGCCTCAGGTCTGGGAAAGGCACTCAGAGTGTAACAGCTAAATACAAGATTGAGCAGATAGTTCAGTTTAAAGCTGACTGTGAAGAGTTACAAAGGGATCTCATAAAAGTGGGTGACTGGCCAAGAATATGGCCAATGAAATTCATTATCGATAAAAGCAAAGTAATGCACATTGGAAAACATAATCCCAACTATACATACAAAATGATGGGGTCTAAATTAGCTGTTACTGCTTAATAAATAATCTGTTAGTCTTTAAGGTGCCACCAGACTCCTTGTTGTTTTTGGTCAAGAAAGAGATCTTGGAGTCATTATGGATAATTCTCTGAAAACATCTGCTCAATGTGCAGCGGCAGTCAAAAAAGCTAACAATGTTAGGAACCATTAGGAAAGGAACAGATAATAAGATAGAAAAATCATAAAGTCACTACATCAATCCATGGTATGCCCATGACTTAAATAACGCATGCAGTTCTGGTCAGGGATGGCCTTACAGGAGGGTGCCGTGGTCAGGGGGGTGCTGTCTGAGTGCGGCAAGCTGTTGGGCCTGGGCTGCCAGAGCTGGGGGGAGCCCTTGGCCAGCTGGGTGGGCGGTGGGTGATGCTGCTTGGAGCTGCCAGCCTGGCAGGGATGTACAGCCAGCAGGGCTTGCCCCTTCTTGCGGGCACAGTAGTGGCTGCACACCTGCTGTCCTGCTTGGTGTTTGGGGATGTATGGCCAGGGGAGTCCCCGGGCTCAGAAACTCCTCCTTGTTGAGCCTGGCTGGCCCTCACGCCCGCACCCCACGCTGCTGTTCACAAACTCAAAGAAAGGGTGCCAAAATACAAGTTCGCCCAGGGCACCATTTTTCCTAAGGCCAGTCCTGGTTTTGGTTACCCCATCTCAGAAAAGATATACTAGAATTAGTAAAAGTACAGAGAAGGGCAACAGAAATTATTAGGGGTATGGAACAGCTTCCATATGAGGAGAGATTAATAAGAGTGGGAATTTTTATTTTAGAAAAGAGATGATGGGGGAGGAATATGATAGAGGTCTATAAAATCATGAGTGGTGTGGAGAAAGTGAATAAGGAAGTGTTGTTTACCCCTTCACATAACCTGCAAACTAGAGGTCAGCCAATTAAATGAATAGGCAGCAGTTTTAAAACGAACAAAGAAGTACTTCTTCACACAACACATAGTCAACCTGTGGAACTCCTTGCCAAAGGATGTGAAGGCCAAGACTATAACAGGGTTCAGAAGTGAATTAGATAAATTCATGGAGGATAGGTCCATCAATGGCTATTAGCTAAAATGGTCAGGAATGAAACCCCAAGCTCTGGGTGTCCCTAAATCTCTGACTGCTAGAAATTGTGACTGGATGACAGAGTTTGGCTCTCTCGATAAAGTGCCTTGTTCTGTTCACTCCCTCTGAAGCATGTAGCACTGGCCACTTTTGGAAGAAAAGATACTGGGCTAGATTGACCATTGGTCTGACCCACTATGGCTATTCTTATGTTTTTATACTAATCCTACCCCATACCCCACAGGAGTCACAGCAACTTTTAATGATATCTGAGGAAAATGTGGATTTTAGAGCACTTAGAAGTCACCCGTTAACCAGAAAGGAGTTCTTAAGCATATCCTTAAATCCCATAGTTATAGTTAAGGATAAGTGCTTTGCGGAATCCAGGTTTATGTGGTTTGCCCAAAATTAAATAGCCAATTGTAGTTGTAGAACAGCCAAGAATAGAATTCATCTCTCCAGTACCAGCTTTGTATCTTAACCAGAAGAATACCCCCTCCTCTCAAAATATTTGCAGGGAATAGGAAGACGCACTGAATGATCATAGATTACATAGCACTTGAATGAAGTTGAAGTGTTTCATGGTATAAAGCTACCTTCCATCTCTTGATTTTGTGATAAACTCATTTTGGTTCAAATTTGGCTTTTCTAATTTTCACAGTGGATTTCTGTTGCTTCATATTCTCTGTACTCTACATGCTCTTAAATATAAATATAACGGGGGACTTCTTTTTTATTATTATTCATATCCAGGCACTACCTGGTGTGACCCAAAAAGAATTAGCTATTCTTTCTTAATGAAATTATCCAAGTGAATGGTACTTTTGATCATGAAGTGTCAATCATTCCTCTGTCCACTGAAGCACGATATTGTGCTAAGGATGTGAAGGACCTTTATCCAAGCATAATACGAAAATGTTTTCTGTAATTTCTACCTGTTTGTAAATGCCCTTCTCATTATGTCTGTTACAATAACAAATCAGGTACAAAAGTATAACATTAATAAACTTTATGCCTGAGATTTTTTCAAAGACACAGGGCTTTGGGACAGTCAGTCCCATTAATAGTAATTGGGCATCCAAATTCATTAGGTGGCTCTGAAAATACACATTTTTAGTAACCAGATGCATGTATAACCTGCCTATCAGTATTATATATAGGGTGCTGCCAAAATAAAGTAGCTTCCAGACAAGAACAAGGTATGATGCAGTACATATTGCGTATAGTTAATACAGGGCAGCGTTTTGCTATGAGTGTTTGGCAGATTGTGCAGACTGGGAAATCCCATGAACTGCATCACAGAAATTCAGCTGTGGGAGTGTTAATCACTGTATAGGTTGTTAACAACCCCCATAACATTAAAATTATCACCATGAATTCTAATCTGTCCTCAAATGAAAAAAAGTGAGTACGTCAGAACTATGATAAATTTAACTACTACTGATCTCAATTTCTGAATGACATTTTGTGGGCTGCAATGTGACCCTTCATGCAGAAGTGAAGCAGCTGATTTCCCATCACTAGATTTAGCACATTTTTTCTTACAAGGCAGCAGTATGGCAGACTTGAGTGCACTGTGACAGCAAAAGAAAATAAGATTAATTTTTTAAATTATATTTACATATTAACTAAAGATAGAGTTATTACAGAACAATCACTGTTCATCATGTTTAGATTTACAGATTTTGTATTGCTTAATGTGAATACTACTAATAATTTACACTTACTAGTACTCTATATCAGAATTTATTCTGAGCAATAATACTTTCCAATTACATCGTGCTGCTTAGGTTAAATTCTGCCCTGATTTTCAGTCAATGGGGTTGGTCCAATAAAAGATATCTCACCTATCTTGCCTCAATCAATGTGGTATAAGTCTGATGTGCAGAACTTGGTCCTATATCTTGAAAGTCCTAAGTGTTAGCCAACTGAAAGGAAAACTTGAAAGTGCTGTATAAATATTAACCAACTTGAAAATTTTCAAGTCCCTGATTTTTCTAGGAAGGTTTTTAACAAGTTCACCCTTCTTTTAAGGAACTGAGAAAGGGGATGCTTCTTAGAATTCCTGGGCTAAAATAAAAAAGTTTATTTGACAAGTCTGCTCTCTCATAAAACAAGCACCTGCTTACACACACAAAAATTTGGATCCATCATGTTGTTTGGTTTCAGCTGTTAGTCTGAGCTCAATTAATGGTTTTCAGACTATTGATCAAGTGGAAGATGAAAGGGATGCCCCAGGGTAATAATGGAATGTTTCCAGACATACTTTAACTGAAGAGAGGAGAAAATCTGCTTCCGAACAGAAGAAACATTAGCATCAGGTTCTTGGAGGGGGTGGATAATGCTATATTAATATCTTCTCTGGAAGGGAGGATCCCTAGGGAGAGATTAGTTCTGTCCCTTATTAATCCCCTGCTGGAGTGTGTGTGGAGGGGTGGGGGTTAATAGCGACCCTGCTGCGGCCAACGCCAGGGTGCTGCACACCAGCCCACTGCGGACCGGGGTTGGGTGGTGCTGACCAATAATGATGCCAACCTGGGGCGGTACGTACGGGTCCCCGACGGAGGGGGGTAGTGCCGACACTGATGCCGGCTGAGGGGCACTGTGGACTGACCCCCTATGGATTTTGGAGGGGCTGATGCTCACTGGGGCCCGCTTGGGAGCAGGGCATACCGACCCTTTACGGATTGCGGGCCGCGGTGGCGCTGACCCGTCACGATGGCGGCGTGTCCTGAGCCCCTGCGGATTCGGGGGCGAGCAGCACGCGCCTGCTGTCAGCTCGCGGCCGCGCGGGCCGGTCTCTGCGGATCCCTGCGGCACGAGGGCTGCGCGCTCACCGCCCAGCGGGCGCGGCGGCGCCCCCTCGAGGTCCCCGCCCCTCGGCGAAAAGAGGAGGGCGCCATGGGCGGAGCCGCTCGCGAGGCGGGCCGCCTATTGCAGCCCCGATTGGGTCTCTGGGCCGTGGGCGGGGCCGAGCAGCCCCCACCCTGCTTTGCCCCGTCCACGCTGACACAGCGCTGACCATCCGCCAGGGGGCGGGTCTGCTGCTGCGGAGGTGGCGTGACTCCCGCCCGCTCGTGACGTCACCGTCGCCCCCCGTCACCTGCGCGGGCGGGCGGGCGGGCGGCCTGCGGGAGAGGCTCAAAGCTCGACTTGTCAGCGCCCCCTCCCCGCCTAAAGGTCACGACCTTCCCTCACAGAAGCCAGCCGTTATCGCCCGTACCCGTCAAGGTCCCGAGGCAGCAGCACCGCGTCACGCGGGGTGCCCCGAGCTCAGGCGTCCACCGGAGGCGTAGCTCTCAAAGCCCCCTCAGTCTGTGCGCCCCCGGCGCCCGCTGAGGGGGAGGCCCAGGCTAGGCCCCCGCCCCCTGACACCTGCTGTAGGCCCCGTCCCGGCAGCACCGCCCGTGCGGGGGGCGCGGTGGCTGGTGCAGCTCTTGGCTGGAGGCGTCAGTGACCAGGGCTCGGACGCCCATGGAAGTGACACTAAAGCCCAGCGTGCCAAGCAATAAATCAGGATTTTGCCCTCATGCATGCCCGTTATCAGCACTAGGCCCTGGCTGGCAATCCAAATAGTGCTGGCTAGAGCCCTCCTTTACCAGGGTAATCGCCTGCCAGCGTCCAGGACCACCCCCCTTTCCCCCCGCCCCGCGCACACCTTAAAGTCTCATCTCTTTTCTTCTTTTAACGTTGGCATGGGGGGAGGGATAGCTCATTGAGCACTGGCCTGCTAAACCCAGCCTTGTGAGTTCAATCCTGGGGGGGACCATTTAGGGATCTGGGGCAAAAATCCAGGTTTTGTGCTGGAAATGGCCCACCTGTTGATCACTTTAGATAAGCTATTACCAGCAGGACAGTGGGGTGGGAGGAGGTATTGTTTCATATTCTCTGTGTGTATATAAAGTCTGCTGCAGTTTCCACGGTATGCATCCGATGAAGTGAGCTGTAGCTCAGGAAAGCTCATGCTCAAATAAATTGGTTAGTCTCTAAGGTGCCACAAGTACTCCTTTTCTTTTTGCGAATAATAGTCATAGTTAATATTTAGCCTGGTAAGTTCTTTATCCTTTGCATTTATTTTATTGTGCTGTGCTGAGATGTCTGTTCATAGGCACCTTTACATTTTATTAAATAAAATAAGTGTTATCATCATTAGGGAAAGAGTATTTCCAAACCCTGACATAATTGTAACTGATATCAGCAACAGTAAAATGCCTCCTCACTTCTGAGCAAAGGGTGAAACATTTTCATTCCTTGTGCCAAATTTGTCCTTTCTTTTCTTCACAGCCAGTTTCTTCTCTAGGTGTAATCTTCTACTTTTTTTCAGGCACTCGTTTTGATTCTTTTACATGGAAATATTGGTGACTTGGAAGCGTTTAGTACTTAAAAGTCAGGTTTCCTTATTACTTACTTTCCTTCGTGCTGTGTTTTGGCAAGAAATGGGTTAACAAGAAGAGCGTGTACTTCAGGGGGCGGTGTAGGACTGTTCCATTTATCCTGGAGGGAGGACAGAGTACTAAAAAGCAGAAATTACTTGTATTGTACTATTTTAAAGCAAAATGCTAAGTTATCAAATGCATCTGTCCGAGCACGACAAAAAAGAGGAAGGTCTGAAGGCATGTGAAATAGCAACAGCCAGCCTGCAAAGCCCGTGACATCAGCATGCTTCCTGCGGCCAATAAAAGGCCCCTCCAGGATGGAAGCAGGTTCCTTCTGCCTGCCTGCCCGCCCGCCTGCCCGCCGCATAGGTAAGGAGCTGCTTGCGGGTTGCGGGGTTCCGGGGTTCCCGGCTGGGCTGGAGCTTTGCCTTGGTTTTCTTCCCCATGAATATCAGCGTTTTTGCCGCATTGATTGTCAGCGAGCCGCTGCCCTGCAAAGCGGAGCCGCTGCAGGCCCAGCGCGTCCGACAGGCCGGGAGTGAGGCGGGCGAACGTAGCCTGCTGGGGCGCCGGGGTGCGAGCCGTAACCCAGGCTGCTAAGGGCATTCTGGAGTCTGAAATAGCAGGGATGTGCCTGGGGTCTGATGGAGGGCGCAGGCTGATTACGAACAGCCGTCCTTGCCTGCGTGTGCCCATGTAGGTTCAGGCGTCTGTAGTTTCATCCGCACGCCTGTGGCTACAAATCTCTTTAATGTCTCTTCTTGCTGGCACTGTGGTCTTGATCACTCTGCAGTATAATTTTGTGCTATTCCTCTTCCTATTTTTTGTTTATAAATTCTGAAAAAATAATCTTGTGCATTCAAATGCCCCATCCCCTAAATTTAAAAATAGCTGTTGGGACATAAATATTCAGTCGAGCTTGGCTGAGTTCATAAGCCATTAAAATATATTTATTTTCTGGCTCATGTATAGTATTTTTCCTTTCTGCATTTGGGTTAGTGCCTTAAAAGGACACCATCTTGTCCCCAGCTTTCCAGGGGCTGCCTTTCCTATTTGCATCTGTCAGCAGTCATTGGTCCCAGAAATGTGCATTTACCCATATAGGGAGGATGATCTTAACTTACTGGCTGCCACTGGAATAGTAGGAGGTGCCTGCACAAAATTGGCACCATGAGACTACAGACAGAGCTGCATAATAGGAGATTTATTTGCCATGCATAGTCAACCTGCTAAATCAGGGATGGGCAAACTTTTTGGCCTGAGGGGCACACCTGGGTATGGAAATTATATGGGGGGCTATGAATGCTCACGAAATTGGGGGTTGGAGCGTGGGATGGGGTGAGGGCTCCGGCTCGGGGTGCAGGCTCTGGGGTGGGGTGCAGGAGGGGGCTCTGGGCTGGGACTGAGGGGTTCAGAGGGTGGGAGGGGATCAGGGCTGGGGCAGGGGGTTGGGGCGTGGGAGGGGTGCAGGCTCTGGACGGTGCATACCTCAAGCAGCTCCCAGAAGCAGTGGCACATCCCCCTTCTGGCTCCTACGCGGAGGTGTGGCCAGGCAGCTCTGCAGGCTGCCCTGTCTGCAGGCACCACCCCTGCAGCTGCCACCCCTGCAGCTCCCACTGGCCACAGCATGCACGGAGCAGGGGAAGCTCCAGACCCCACTCCCCGGCTGGAGCATGAGGGCTTGATTAAAATGCCTGAAGGGCTGGATGTGGCCCCCAGGCCATAGTTTGCCCACCCCTGTGCTAAATCAAGGACTTGTTCTGAGTAACTTGGCTCTGCAATCTCCATGAATAATTACTGTTTTTATTCTGGTAGCACCCACAATGTGCTAGGCACTGTACACAAATGCCCACAGAGGAGGACATAGAGTTTACTCCAAAGAATTTACAGTCTCTGAAGATAAAAAATTTATAAAGGGCAGAGAGGAGGAATACAAACAAAATGTGTACAGCTTCCATATTTAAGTAGTGTATATATACATGAACCATGCTTGACATCTCTTCAACCTGTTTGTTATTAGCTAGCCAATTTCTTGTGAAAATGAGTTTTGCAGATTCTTGTGGATCTTTTGAAGAAAAATATCAGCTCTTTTATTTTAGTACTCCCTTAGTCACACAGTGACTGGAAGTTCTTGCTATGACTACATGCGTCAATTTACTTGCTTAGTGGATTTGGTACTTAATTGGCAGAAGATAAAACTCCGTAATAAATTAGGATTTTCTATACTAAATTAGACCAGAGGTCAATTTACTGTAGTTTAGTATCATGTCTCTTGACAGTGGCTGGTTACCACATACTTCAGAGGAAGGTGCAGTGGAAAGTTATTCCCTAAATCTGCCTATAGGGGAAGCTTTTTCTTAATCCCATCCACTGGTGGCTGGTTTATGCCCTGAAACAGGAAGGTTTTATATCCCTCTTATTCTGTCTATTGTAACCGACCATTCTTTAGTAGAATATTTTTTAGATCCGTTTATATGCATAAACTGTTAGCCTCAGTGGTATCTTGTGATAGTGAATTCCATAGCAGAAGTATGCAATGTGTCTTTTAAAAAGTATTTTTACAGGCTCCTGTGCAAAGATGTAATGGTAGTTAAGTCCATAGCAGAGAGGAGGAAAAGGCAGTTCTTTGGCCATGTCTTTTGTGAATGTGTACAGAAAATGGCTTGTTGCTCACTAATCGCTGCTGCTGCTACTGCTGAAGAAACAGAGCAAAGCAGAGAACAATAAAATTAAGTTTAACAAATCCTGTTCCCCCAACCTCCAAATTTGTCTGGGTGACTGTATCTAACATTTTTTTCTTATAAAGAATGCCCAAACTGCATGTGCATTTTTGGGTGGAAACCCCCTTACTGGAAAAAACTCCCTGCTAAACAGAGTGGGTGAGTTGTGAAATGCCTCCATTCCCAGTGGTCATCAATGTTGCCATCTTTCTGATGACCCAAAAGTCACTTGTAAGTTGTGTTTAACAAAAGATTTGTCACCATAAACATGAATTTAATATGTAGTTTATGTGCTGAAGCCACAAGATTAGTTCTACTTAATAGTCTTCATTTAAATTCTCTTGAAAATCTTCTGCACATTTAGTCTTAAATATCTATTTCGGAGTCTCACTTTTAAAAAGAATCTTCCTTTGTTCTATTCAGTCACTTCAGGGCAGTTTCCCCACCCTCTTCCCCACAGAGATTGGGAAATGCCAGAAAATATATGAATCAAACATGTGAAGACATGGGTAGAATCGTTACAAATCAGAGGAAACTCCTCCTGCATCAGCTGTCCAGAAACTAAATACCAAATATGGGTTTAAAATCTAGTTTAAACCCTTCTAATAAGAGTTGTAAACAAGACTTCAGGTGGGAGTCAATAATCTCTCTCCCCATCAGTGTGGGTGTGCACTCTGAAAGCAAATCTGATGTTCACCTTAAACATTAACACTGGCAAATATATATTGTGTAACATTTTTAATTAGACCAGGCTTCTCTTCCCAACTCTGGACTGATGCAGTGTATCCCATTGGACAAGTTGTTTAACCCTTCTGTGCCTTAGTTTCTCTTGTAAAATAGTGGTGGCATAATTCACAGCATTGTGACTGTTTTGAGATCTTTTCAATTAAACATGGTACAGAAGTGCAAAACAGTACTATTCTGTGGTGCATTTCGCTATTGGGCAACATTTGAATAAGGCACAAGAATTGCCCCGCTCAGAAGAGGCTTTTATTGTAAATAATCTGTTAGAAACAAAATGATCTAGGTCCTTCATAAATTTCTTATGATGCAGTATGGTAGAAATAATGGCTTCTTACAAAAATCAATCGCCACCACATGAGGAAGTCTAGGGCAGTGGTTCTCAACTAGGGGGCCTCGAGCAGGTTTCAGGGGGCCTCCAAAGTCGCTGGGGCCCAGGGGAGAAAGCTGAAGCCCAGGTCCCTGAGCCCTGCCACTTGGACTGGTAGCCGAAGCCTGAACAATGTAACTTTGTGGGGGGCCCTGTAGCATGGGGCCCCTAGCAATTGCCTTGCTTGTTACCCCCTAACACTGGCCCTAGCTTTTATACGCAGAAAACCAGTTATTGTGGCACAGGTGGGCTGTGGAGTTTTTATAGCATGTTGGAGGAGGGGGGCATGCTCAGAAAGAAAAAGGTTGAGAACCTCTGGTCTAGGGGATTCACCCTCTAACAGTCTCTCTTTGTTCCTCGAGCAGACTCTTTGCTTTGTGGGCTCTGGAAGCTTCAGTGTAGCGGTGGGGTCCAGTGAAAATCAGAAGTACACCTTAAAGCTGTTAAAACATGGTCTCAAAAAGAGCCTTAGTGATTCTGGCTAAAGGAGCAGAGGAGATGGAAACTGTTATCCCCGCTGATGTTATGAGAAGGGCTGGAGTGAGTATGATAACCACTAGAACTTTTTATGACCATTTGTTAAAACAAAAGATATTTACCAAGTATTCTCACCTTGAATCAATCCTCAGTGATGGAGAGATTGTTTTATTCAGTGGGCTCCTGGATGAACATGCAACTGGGCCCTTTTATTTGTGGTTTGAAAGACAGATGCTCACTCATACAAACAAGTACTCATTGCTGCAGAATATGAATTCATAGATTCAATAGGCCAAAACATACCTGTTAGAAAAAGCATCCAATCTTGATTTAGAAATTGTCAGTGATGGAGATTCAACCATTGGAACAATTTACCAAGGGTTGTGGTGAATTATTCTCATTGGAAGTAAGGTGTAAATATATATCAATCTGAATCTGACTAGCTCCACCTTCCAGATATTGGATTGTGTTCTATCTTTCTCTGATAGATTGAAGAGCCCATTATCAGATTTTTTTTTTCCCAAGTAGGTACTTACAGATTTCAATCAAGTCACACCTTAATCTTCTCTTTGTTAAGATAGATTCAAGTAGCTCAATCTATTTATCGCTATAAGGCATCTTTTCTAATCCTTTAATTTTTCTTGTGGGTTCACTCTGAGCCCTCTCCAATTTATCAACATCCTTCTTGAATTGTGGACACTAGAACTGGACGCAGTATTCCAGCAATGGTCATAGCAGTGCCAAATACAGTTGTAAAATAACCTCTCTACTCCTACTCAAGATTTCCCTGTTTGTGCATCCAAAGATTGCATTAACCCTTTTGACCGCAGCATTGTACTTGGTGGGATTATCCACCATAGCTCCAAAATCTTTTTCAGAGTCACTGCTTCCCAGGTTGGAGTCCCCCATTGTGTAAGTATGGCCACATTCTTCGTTCCTAGATGTATACATTTACATTTAGCCATATTAAAGTGGATGTGTTCCAAACAATGTAAACACATTTACGCTGTGAACCTAGTAGTGACTAGGGCCGATATTTAGGTATCTATCATCCTCTCAAAATATGTGCAACTCCTGTGTTAGTGGAGAGAGTTTTCTTTTTTCTTAGGAAGACTAGACCCCTTTGTATTCATCAAGCTAATGACCTTGATTATTTCACTCAGATCTCTCCTTGAAGCTCTGCTTTCAGCTAGCAGTCTCTCACTTACCACCTGTAGAGTGCTCCCTATTTATCACTTGTGCACCTGCAAGTATAGGCAATAATCCAATCTTGATCAGGTGCAAGAGTGATAAATAAGATTTAAAAAAACCAAAACTGCAAAGTGAGAATTTAAATGACCAGAACCTCAAGTCTGTGCACATGAAACAGCCAAAATAAAGTGCTACCTCTCCCCTTCTTTTTCATCCCATTAATTTGTTCACTCCCTTGTGCTGGTGCTCCTTAGAGCACAGATCTTTCCTTATTTTTCCCTATAGGGTGCTGTGCACATCTGTGGAACTGTGACCAAGTAGCTGAGAGTCAGGAGTCTGGAGCTGAATAAACCGATTTAGAGAGTGTCCTGTGAACCAGGACCAAAAAGATAATGGATCATTTAGCAGGCCTGCTTATCTGACACTACTTTAATCTAGAAACCTGTGGAATGCTGGATTATGTGATACAGCTGTTAGACTTTCCAGATTCAAATAACTAATCTTACTGCAGGTACTTCTCATCTAATTTTACTTCTGAGGTGGGAAACCTTTGGTTTTAGTCTGATTCTCTACAGCTTTTACTATTGCTTGGTTTAAATAATCTTTTAAACAAAATATACCTCTGCATACTACTTCAGAATTGTCATCTGCACCCCCTTAAAGCAGAGCATTTTGCTGTTGTAATGGTGTCTGTTTTTCTGTCAGATCAAGGTGATTATTGCAGGCTTAACAGGAAAAGATCCAGTGCAGTGCAGCCGAGATGTCTTCATTTGTCCTGATGCCAGTCTAGAAGATGCCAGAAAAGAGGTTTGTCATACTGACTTAGCATAATGCTTTACAGGACCTTCTTCACAGGTTAGCAGTGGACTTGGAAGGTTATTAGTAACGCCCAGTTTGACTGATCGTAGCAGCACTGCACAAACCCAGAGGCACATAATTTAATTCTCTCCCTTCTAGTGTTGTCCTGCAACACAGTATCTTAGTTTTGCACAATTTTTAACATTCTGTCCAGGTATTTGACTTGGTAAAATGTTTAACTCCGAGCTTTACTGTACATGTTACCCAGACTCTCTGACAAAATAACATAATTTGGAACAAAAGAAAGTTTCTGTTCAGGAAGGAAGTGCTGCTTAGGGAGCTTTGCAGCATAGCAGCTATTAGCACATTGCAGAGCTGCCAATCACACTCTGGAGCACTAAACTCCCCATCCACAAAGACTTATTGTGTAGGCAAAGTTTGCCTCAAATCAAGTTTCTCCAGCAGTTCTTGGCCTGATATATGGAAAACGAAACAGTGTTTTTCTAGTAGCTCCATTAAGTGAAATATTTTGGTTGCTCATCAGACTTCGTTTTGAGTAAAGAGCCTTTCAGAAGCAGAAAAGGTAGAATTCCTCTGCTTCTCATTTTAGTATGTTTTAACAGTCATAAAGACAAACTCCCCTGGGTGAACGTGCATGCTCCTCTTCTGTAGAATTCTGCTAAGTAAGCATTTCTTTCTTTGTTTAGGGGCCGTATGATGTGGTGGTCCTGCCAGGTGGTAACCTAGGAGCTCAAAATTTGTCAGAGGTAAAATCATGAAGATAATTCACAGGCCTGCCCATATATCTGTAAGTGTTGCTTATTCTCCTGCTACTGCAGCAAATTCAACCCAACATTTAATTAAAAACAAAAACAAAAAAACACAGTAAGCTGTGCAGCTGCAGTCTTAGCCAGAGTTATCCAGTGTAACAATGGGGAAGTACTCTGTTATAACTTGTAGTATGGAGATGCAACATGTTGTCGTAAATGATTATTGAACAGGATATAAAGTATTTTGATGCCATAAGAAATTAGGAATTGCCATACTGAATCCAATTTAAGGTTAATCTAGTCCGGTATCCTGTCTAGCAATGGCCAGTAGCATCTCTTTTAGTGGAAGGCATAAAGACTAAGGCTGTCAATTAATCGCAGTTAACTCACGCAATTTAACTTAAAAAAAAAATCTCTATTAATATTATTAATTGCACTGTTAAATAATAGAATACTAATTGAAATATATTGAATGTTTTTCTACATTTTCAAATATATTGATTTCAATTACAACACAGAATACAAAGTGTACAGTGCTCACATTATATTATTATTTTTATTACAAATACTTGCATCTGCCTCAGATGAAAGTGAACATGCGTTGATCTGCACTCTGCTTTGGATTGTTCTCTAGTAGAACCCAACATCAGCATGGATGCATGTCCTCTGGAATGGTGGGGCATGAAGGGACATATGAATCTTTAGCCTATCTGGCATGTAAATATCTTGCAACGCCGGCTACAACAGTGCCATGTGAGTGCCTGTTCTCACTTTTCAGGTGAAGCATTAGCTCCTGCAAATGTAAACAAACTTGTTTGTCTGAGCGATTGGCTGATCAAGAAGTAGAACTGAGTGGACTTGTAGGCTCTAAAGTTTTATATTTTATTTTTGAGTGCAGTTATTTTTTTGTACATAATTCTACATTTGTACATTTAACTTTCATGATAAAGAGATTGCACTACAGTACTTGTATGAAGTGAATTGAAAAATACTTTTTTTGTTTTTGTTTTTTTACAGCACAAATATTTATAATAAAAAATAAAGTGAGCCCTGTACTCTGTTCTTTGTTGTAATGAAATCCATATATTTGAAAATGTAGAAAACATCCAAAAATACTTAAATGGTATTCTATTATTGTTTAACGGTACAATTAATAGCAATTTTTTTAATCACTTGACAGCCCTAATAAAAACCCTTGTTAAGCAGATATGGAATAATTTAACCCAGCAAATTGGTCTCGTTGTCTCTCCTAGTTAACAATTGGCTTAAGCCCTGAAGCATGAAGTATACTATAACTTCCAAAATGTTCCTTATGTTGATAACTCTGGATATTCTTAATATCCAGTCTCATTTTGAATCATTTTGAGTTCTTGGCTTCAGCTACTTTCTGTGGCAAAAGTTCAATCACATTTTGTGTGGAAAAAGTATTTCCTTTATTGGTTTTGAATTTTCCAGCTTTTGATTGACTGTTCCCTGTCTCATAACACTAAAAATTCCTGATCTACTTTCTCTACATAATTAACTATTTTTTGTATGTATTACAGATCGTGCAGCATGATTTGTGGGTGGTTTTTTTTTTTTTTAAATAATTCCTTAATGTAATATTATTTCTTTGTGCAGTCTCCTGCCGTGAAAGACATTTTAGTGGACCAGGAGAACAGAAAAGGCCTAATTGCTGCTATTTGTGCAGGTACAGTAATGAACTATCTTGTATTATAACCTACTTGGCTGCTTTAAAGGACTGTCTGGGTAACTACCTACTTTAGAAAACTCTTTCAGTACTGTTGTGTCCCAATAGCTCAGTAGCAAGAGTAAAATGTAACATGCATAGAGTTCAAATGGAGGGGGGAGAGGAGCTATAATCTAACAAAGTGAAACGCTATATATAGGGCCCTACCAAATTCGCGGCCGTGAAAAACTCATCACGGCCATGAAATATGGTCATTTGTGTACTTTTTACCCTATACTTTCATGGGGGAAACCAGTGTTTCTCAAACTGGGGGTCCCAACCCAAAAGCAGATCACGGGGGAGTTGCAAGGTTATTTTAGGGGGGGTCATGGTATTGTCAGCTTTACTTTTGCACTGCCTTCAGAGTTGGATAGTCAGAGAGGGGCAGCTACTGCCAGGCACCTAGCTCTGAAGGCTGTGCCATGCCAGCAGAAGCACAGAAGTAAGAGTTGCAATACTATACCATGCCACCCTTACTTCTGCACTGCTGCTGGCGGCAGCTTTGCCTTCAGAGCTGGGCTCCCAGCCAGCAGTCGCTGCTGTCTGGCTGCTGAGCTCTGAAGAAAGCACCCCCACCAGCAGCAGCGCAGAAGTAAGGGTGGCAATGCCATAACACCCCTACAATAACCTTGTACCCTCCCCACAACACCTTTCTTGGGTCAGGACCTCTACAGTTACAACACCATGAACCTTCAGATTTCAATACCTGAAATTGAGAAACTTAGGATTCTTTTAAAAATCCTATGACCATGAAATTGACCAAAATGGACCATGAATTTGGTAAGGCCCTAGCAATATACTAGGGTGTTCTATAAAATACATGCTTACGCTAGCAGTCTCTCTGCCAGGAGCTATGTGCTGGCAGTACGCCGTCAATATAAATTTCTCAGACATAAAGTAATGTGGCCCTCTGTTGCCCTTTAGCTTTGGAGGAAAAATTGTAAATATAAGATTACAGGTTCACCATCCCTCATCCACATGGCAGTGGTAACGAGAATTATTCTTGCCTGGCTTGGCTCCTAGACAGACTGCATGACCAGGTATCTTATTCATTGCTTTATAAAGTGCTTTGAGGTGTCTGAGGTATGAAAAGTAATATAAGCAAGTGCCAGCTCTACTAGTTCGACTCTAGATGAAGTAGTGGTCGGGAAAAGGCTTTCATAAGTGATTTCCTTCTGCCCATTGACATGTATAAAATGTATTTATTTAGTCTAGTCATAGGCATTTTTGGAATGCCTCTTTCGCTTTTGTTTCTGATATGTCTTTGTTCTTTTGAGTGCTGTGGAAGTACAGAATGTCATTTTAATTTGCTATCACTAGATTTATCTGATGGCTTATCCCAGGTACCTGCAAAGTTCTGAATTTCCTCACACTTGGGGGACAGTAGTTTTCTATTTATCCTCCTGCTTTTGCTATAAACAATCAAGATGAATTTTCAACAGTTCTGTAAAGGACACCATTCATAATAATGGAAGTTCACTTGAAAAGAGTCACTGATTTAATTATAACTGTTTGCAAAGCAAACTTCTAGCTGAATAACACAAGTTGCTTCTTTCCTGGAACTGGCCGATGAGTCAAACTTGAACAATACGCAGAAACTGGTAAATCTTATTTTCTGGAATTCCCATAATGGTTTTTTCTAGGTCATTTGTTATGTAACTTTCTGCTACATTCCTTCCTCAATTCAGTTCAAATGGGAAGTGTTATCTCCTCTAAATGCTGTTATTACAAATAAAAAAGTTACAGCTCCTAGCCCATGATTTGGCTAAGATATTGTATGTTAATACCCTTCCTTGGGCACTTGGCACACAGTTGACTGTCAACTGTGAGGTTTTCCCCAGAATATTTGTAATTAATCCTTGTTAGCAGCTCTCTGTTCAGTGTCATATTCTGCCTCTTTCCCCCAATTTAAGCAGATATCCTAGCAGTATGACTTGTTGTAGAAGATGGGAATCAAGTACAGTGATCACTTAATCTGCAAGACAATAGTTTTTATTCAAAGATTTAGAACTTAATAACTTTCTGGTTTTTGATGTACGTTCTCTCCCCTGGGGGATTGATTTTGTTTAAAGGAAATGTAGGACACCATGTACCTGTATTTCTCTGTTGGGGCCTTGCATTTATTCTTCTATAGTTCTCATGTGGGCTTCGACTGTGTATGCATCCATGCTAGGCCTCTCCTAGGCTTTTGTGAGGCTCATTCTTTGAATGTTTGTTAAAAAGTACCTGTCTCCAATGGAGTTTACACTAGTGACAGGCTCACTTTGTATTACTTGCAGGTCCCACTGCCCTGCTGGCACATGGGATAGGGTTTGGGAGGAAAGTTACAACACACCCTTTGGCCAAAGATAAAATGATGAATGGAGGTAGGTATAAATATTAAAAGGCAAATGGATGTGTTAAACTTTGCATTTATCTGTCCTGAATACTGTGGAGGAAATAGATCCACGGACCTGTGCCCTTCAGTATTACCACTCACCAGAAAGAAGGGTGGGGGGGGCGTGGAGTGGAGGCGGCCTCAACAAAACACTGCTAGGACCATTTTCCTCTCCTACTTGAGGCCTGCCAGCTCTCCCCTTTCTGAATTCTTACTTTAAAAAAACCCAGCAACCAAACTAAAATGGTTCCCTTCTTACCTTCCAGAAAACCAAGCTGTCAATGGTGATATTTTTCTCATGTAGCAAACTGCTGTGATTTGGGGAAGGCATGTCATGCACATTTCTCATTGCACTTTCTCACCACTAAATGGAAGGAGGGGAGGAGAGTGTAGCAGAAAAGGGGAAATATGAAGATGGGAAGGGTATCCACCACTTCTTTCCCAGAGGGAGCTTGAAAATCTCCTAACATCATGTTTATAGAGGTGTTCTGTGATTTCTAGAAATACCCTGAGAATTAAGAGGCACTGTAAATCTTTCTCAGTGTTGACGGGCTTTGTTATTAGGGTATATGTTGGTTTAGGGTAACTTAAATTGTGTCACTCTGGGATAGTCTTTTGTTTTGTTTTCCTTATTGACTAGTGTTGCAAATCCATACAGCACTGATTAAAATATTACCTGGTGTCCTGTCTAAGTACAGTTAGTCCTGGTCAATTTGAACTATGTCCCTTCCTCCTCCTAGAATGGGGTCCAGGTAAGGCTCTAGTGTTCCATTTGGCACTAGCTGTTGGCTTCTCCAACACTGGGATTTCGTTTCCAAGGTGAGGCTTAGTTGCACGTTTTCATCTGGAGCCAGTTATGGCCACTAATTCCTATGCTTTTAGGAATAATGGCCTATGCTGGAAAGATGACCTGCTTTATGCCAACACTCAATATGGACTTTGCACTGGAGTTAGCACTACTATTGCTAAGGGCCTCATACAAGATATACAGCCCTTTCACCTGTCTTGCAGTATCAAAGCCATTCCCTTCACAGACAGTATGAAGTGGATACATGAACCTTTGAGGGATTGTAGATTTCAATGGAAATCACTGTAGCATTTTCTAATGTGTAATATGATGAATTTCCAAGATGTATCTAAAAGCATAGTTTAATGCATCAGAGCTTTCACGAGAAGGTGATAGGTTTGCAAGCCACAGGCATTAATTAATGAAGCACACACTGTCTTAATTAGCAGTACAAGTGTTGCCAGCTATTGGGAGAGAAGGGAGGGGTTTACTGTGAGGTTTTTATTGTGGCTTTTTCCTTAAAGCACTAACCATAAGCATGTGATTGGGAGAGAGTCTCAACTTTTATTTAAAAAAAATCCTAGGCCTCATAACAAAGAAAAGCTTTAAAGATTTGAAAGCCAGAAGTTAGAGAGAACACAATAATTTTTTTTTTTTTTAATCTCATGGTTTTGGTGGATCTGACTCATGATTTTTGAACACTTGGGGCTAACAGTACTGAGCAGTATGGCAGATCTGGAAGAATTTGCCAAATTGCTACTGGAGTTGTGCATGAGCTGCATCAGCCTGAACATCTTCTGTGTTCTGTTTTTCCTCTTTAAGAACACTACAAGTACTCTGAAAACCGTGTGGAAAAGGACGGGAACTTTCTCACCAGCCGTGGTCCTGGCACCAGCTTTGAGTTTGGCCTGGCTATTGTTGAAATACTGATGGGGAAGGAGGTGGCTGATCAAGTGAAGGCTCCTCTTATATTGAAAGATTAGTACAGAAATCTTGATGAAGGGGAGGAGAGGGAGAAGAACACAAACTCAGATGGAAAGTTTCTTGTGTCTCTTCTTAAGAATAATCAAAAAGCTATCTTCTCCATAAAATCTAATTGTGGGTGAACTCCTTTAGCACAACATTTGATGTAACTAGCAGTAACGCTTATATTAGGAACTGGAATAATTCACAAGCTAATGGTTTTTGTTCTTAAAGAAATGGACTTAAATGGATCTGGTAGCTAATGAAACTTCTGCACTAGAAAGATCTGTGAATGTAAACAATAGCATTATGTTTAATAGTTTTTGTTCATGTGATTCTGAAGCTTGTTTGCTTGCTTAAATAAAAAGGAAAGGAAATCGGTTTAAAAAGTGGATTTCTGCTTGTGTTTTGTTTCATTTTTTGAAACTATGCCAGAATATTTCTTACCAGTTTGGTTAGTAATGTTGTGATCTTAATTTCCATAAAAATTTAAACCTAGAAATATGTGCAAATTCTTGTGACATCCTGATGGATGACTGATTAAATTGTTTACTTGTGGCACCTTAGAGACTAACCAATTTATTTGAGCATAAGCTTTCGTGAGCTACAACTCACTTCATCCGATGAAGTGAGCTGTAGCTCACGAAAGCTTATGCTCAAATAAATTGGTTAGTCTCTAAGATGCCACAAGTACTCCTTTTCTTTTTGCGAATACAGACTAACACGGCTGTTACTCTGAAACCAATGCTTATATGGTAATTCTAGTGTGCGCGCACACACACACACACACACACACACACACACACACACCCACCCCTTGTCACTCTTCTTAGTGAAAGCAGCAATGGCAAAACCAATTAATTAAGAACCCCCTACACTTGTCATATTTGTAAGGTTGCAGCTAAATGACCTTTTCACGTGTGCTAATCAATCAGAGTGACTTAGTTAATGAAATGTTAAAATAAAATTTGTCAAATATTTTGTGCAATGTTTCTGAATAATGTGCGCAAAGAGTCCTAGATCAGATCCTTCCATGTCTTTACCCCCCAATGTAGTTAGAGCACAGTCATATACTCCCTTGGCCTCACCATGCTTGTTCTTTTGCTTACCACCAGACAATTATTCCTAATTATACCTTATTGTACTACCCTAAATAATTTTGCTCCCTCATGGTGGTTTATACCTGTCAGATTCTTGTAGATAGTTATCTCATTTAATGTTTATCTTTCTCTCCCTCTGGCAGTAAGGGGCATGCACTGGAATCAAATTATTAAAAATTGTGCAAGGCCACACTTGCTGTTCTTAGGGGTTAGCTTTGGGTCTGTGTTCAGATTCTCTGGTGATGTACAGCTTTCAGTGCTGATGATCCTAACCCTAACTCCTGCTTGTGTCCAATCCAGCTTTTTTTAAATGGGGGTGGGGGGGTATCTTTGTGGGAGCCAAACATTAATAATAATCTAAGTATAGACAGTAGACAAGTCAAACTGACATTTAAAATGGGATTTTTGTGCAAGGAGGGAAAACACGTCCAGCATATTGTGCTTCCTTTGACAAGCTCTGCGTGTAGCCTCACTGGCATTCAGTAGTCTAGACAAAAATCAGTATAAGCACTGACAGTCAGGCTACATCTTACCAGATTGGGTCTGATTTGTAATTTTATAAATAGCATTCAGCCTTTGGATTTAGTAAAGGAATTTATGGTTAAATTAGTGTCATGCTACTTCCCTGCATAAATAATAATGCCAACATTGGTTAAAACTCTGGAACCATTTCCAATTTATAGCACACGGAGGCTCAGATGGTTGAGTAGTGAAACCCTTGACGTCTCTGTGCAGAACACAGCGTATCAGCCATGTTTAACAAATATACCCCTTTCATGCCACTGAATATTCTTGATACAATTTGCTATTCCATTGAAAATGGTCACAAGGGCAGAAGCATTTCTGATCAACAGTGGGATTAATTGGAAGCACAACAAATAGTTCATCCTTCATTTTTTCACTAAACCTTTAATACTTTAAATATAAAAGGCATTTGGGCTTTTCAGCTGTTAGTTTTTCCCTTAAGAAATCTGTTGTCAGACCATCACTAGCACTTTAAAATGACAAAGTAAACAGATCGGGAATGAAAGTTAAATTCATGGCAGGAGTGTCTGTCTGCATTACTGTAGTACCGGAATAGACTCTTAGATCTGGACTATTGTACAGTAGAAATTAAAAACAACACATGAACCATGAGGTCACATCTGATTCATTTCTAAATCACTGACACATACATAATTTAATTTAAAAAGTGAAGTTCAGACTTGTCCTTACATTGCAAAATGGTATTACTCTGGTCAAGTGAGGCAATAAAACAATCACTGAATTCCTACATTAATATTCAAAGAAGGCACTTTGCTGTGAAGTTAATATATTCACTTTGATCTGTTACAGTCATTCTGAAACATCATTGTGTGCTACCTTGTGATCTGGTCTTGTCCACTGAATTTGGGTATCATCAACTTTCAGTTTTCCTATAATGGTAAGTGCTAATAAGCTTGAAGTCAGCAGTACCATTATTTCAGTTCTATGTGACCCTGTCATAGCCAAGAGAACCATAGCAGGGAACATTTCCTTAGCAATTGTCTCTGGAGCCATCGGCTCTTTGGCACCATATAGTCACTTACCAGCAATTAAATCTTGTGCGCTGAAAGTATTACCACCACAGAGCCTCAGTGACCCTCCCTTCACCCATCTAGTTGAGAGCCCAGCTCCAAATGCTGCTTTTGGAACTAGAGAAGAACTATAGGATGGTTAGAGGGCATAGTATATTTATACCTTAGGCCTATGAACTATAGGACTCAATGATATGTGTGCTTCAGGGCAGTGGTTCGCAACCAGGGGTACATGCACCCTGCACGGGTACATCAACGCATCTAGATATTTGCCTAGTTTTACAATGTTACATAAAAAGCACTAGCAAAGTCAGTACTAATTAAAATTTCATACAGACAATAACTTATTTATGCTGCTCTATATACAATACATTGAAATGTACATACAATATTTATATTCCAATTGATTTATTTTATAACTACTGGGTAAAAATTAGAAAGTAAGCAAATTTTCAAATTTGCTGAGACACTATTACTATTTCATATTTTTATATCTGATTTTTTGTAAGCAAGTAGTTTTTTAAAGTGAAACTTGGGGGGTACATAAGCCAAATCAGATTCCTGAAAGGCATACAGTAGTCTGGAAAAGTTGAGAGCCACGGGTTTATACTGCTCTATATACTATACACTGAAATGTAAGTACAATATTTATATTCAAATTGGTTTATTTTATAATTATATGGTAAGCAAGTTGTTTTTAAGTGAGGTGAAACGGGTGGTGTGTGGTATGCAAGACAAATCAGATGCCTGAAAGGGGTACAGTAGTCTGGAAAGCTTGAGAACCACTGCTTCTGCTTCAGGGCACAAGTCAACCACTAACTGGGGTTAGAACCCACCCACCCTAATCAAGAGGTTATTCCTTAATTGACCACGATGAGGTTTCTTGCACCTTCCTCTGACCTGGCCACTATCAGACACAAGCCCAGGAGGTCCATGTAGGCCAGTTTCCTATCTGGTATGCAATCACTAGATTCCTAAATGCTTAAAATGCCCACTGTGTTGGCTACAGTTGAACAGTTTGAATAGCTACAGCGATTTTTTTTTTTTTTTTAAATGAAACTACCTCTCATAACAGCTTTTGTTCCGCACAGATTCATTACACAGATACATTGAGTGGATATCCAGGAGCATTTCACAGTTTGAAGGTAGTAGAAACACCAGAATTTTGCATCCATGTCAGTTTCCCCATGTGGGTGAAGGGGGCACAGTGCAGGGGTTAGGTAAAGTGCTTGGGGCACAAGAGGGGGTGGGGAGCCAGGGGCAATGCGGGGGCACTATGCCCATGAGGGCCGGGGCACGAAAATACGAGTTCGCCCAGGGTGCCATTGTCCTTAAGGCCATCCCTGTTCATTCTCACAGAAACCACAACTAGCACTACTTGTCCCTCCTTGCTGACCAGACTAAGTGGATGAGAGACTGACCGCTCCTGTGGTCAGGGTTCAGGCATGGGGCAGCACTAGAGGCTGCTGCCTGTCAAGTACTCTTAGGGACTGACGGTGACAGGACCTGTGGCATCTCCCCAGCACTACATTTACCCTAGTAACAATTTCTAAATTACTTTTGTAAAACCTCAACTCTTTTTGTCCCAGTTTTCAATGGTTTGTAAGTTTTCTTCAGTACGCCCCTTGTCTGGCCTCTTTTTCTAGGGCTCTTCCAGGCCTAGGGCATAAATTATGCTTTGGAAATATGTTAGTCCCCATCTTATTCCCCAGCCCTAGTAACAAGCTTTTTCCTCATCAACTCTTGGGTTTGCCTTGTAAGTAATACTCAGAACGCTGTTAGAGCCAAGAATGAAACTCAGATTGGTAACGAGTAGGTGGTGATAGTGTCATGCCACCTTGTGGGATATGATAGTTACAGCAACATTGCAATAGCATAAATGACCTTCAGGCTGCAGCCCCAGTGAAATGTTAGCATAACTGGTACACCCTCTGGCCATGCAGGACTTAATTGGAATACTTTACTTTCTAGTGCAGAAGGCGTATGTGTTAACTTTTGATCTTTGTAAAACAAAGTATTGTATTTAAAAAAATAAGTACAATAGCTACTTAGTCATTGCCCTATCTCCCTGAAAGGGTGGGAGGGCTTGCAACTTGGGGATCAGCTTACATATAGTTAGATAGCACATTTATTTCAAAGTAGTTTTGAATGCTGCAGCATTAGAATGCTCTGTCAGTGCAGGCTAATGTTTAACTTAAAAACAACATTCAGTGCTTAAAGGTGAATAATTCCATTACCTGATTAAAACAAAGTCACATGAGTGAGCAGAATTAAATAAAAAATAAAAAAATAAACTGTGGCTAACAGTTTGAACTCTCAGCTTCCAAATGGAACTGGAAGTAAGATGGGCTAGAAAAATGCATCAGACCATCTCCCAGATTCAGCCCCACTGCTGCTCAAACAACAGCCTCACATCTTTCCTCTGCTGGGCTTTTTCTTAGATTCCCTACACTGACTGGGTTTATTCATTGATGGAGATAAATCATTGGCACAGGGGCGTTCCCTGGGGAAGGTTAGCGTGGCCAGGGCATCATTGAAATGACCCATTGGCTGCTAGCATAAAACAGAACAGCCCTGCGAGTACTCTAATTTATGCTGGGTATGGCCCAGTGGCCAGACAGCCCAAGGATTGGGGGGATGCAGAGGTGACTTAAAGTCAGTTTTATACCCCTCCTCCACAAGATCCACAGTGAACCCTGCCTACGACTCAGGATCTATGCACCAGGCACAGCTTTGATAGCGTCATGACAAAAGTTCCTGGCTTTTCCTGAGGATTTATGGCAGCATGTTTGTGGCACCTGCATGCAACACAAGCTCAGAATGTTTCTGGAGTAGGAGGCCTGAACAATACAACCCCATGTAACTGTAAAGGCAGAACATTCTCTCTGAATGATTTTGCAGAGAGCCTGGAACATCCTATACAAAATGTTTACCAAAGAGAAAAGGGGTTTTCTGCAAATGAAAGCAGTGGGGGCTAGTTTAATCCCCATGTAAGAACAAGAGAATCCATCAGGGTGTGCTCCTCCAGTGACATCTCTGCCCTGAGTCATAGGCCTGTGGCAGGGGAAAGGCTTCTGTCAATGCACTGAAGACTTGTACAGATTTTACATCATAATAGAACATTGCTTAAGCTTGGAAGCAACCTCTTACGCAGTAAGGATTCCTTACACAGTACTGAACTCTGTCAATCTCTCCCAGGTGAACACATGCTTGGATGTGTGACCAGGACACAGGCAATATCTTCTTGACTAACTTGTCAACATGATAGATGGCAAAAGGCTGATAAATCACAAGATGCAACCTAATATGCTCATAGCCTCTTGCATTTTCTGAACTGTCACAACAGCCACTAAACTACCATGCCCAAATTGCAGGGCAATGAGTAAAACACCGCTGGGGTCATTCACACTCCTTTATGCCTTAGTATGCGAAGAAGAATGCTTGAACTGGCACAGGGACTATCAGCAAGGATGCCACATATTCCCATCTATCAGGGTTTCATGAGAAAAAAGACAAGAAGTGGAGAAAATATGGAGCTACCTTTAATTTTTCTGAGCATATCCCCTGTTGTATGTTAGGATGGACTCTTCGCCACAGAGGGAGAGAGATGCATATACCATCACTTGTATGTGTGTGACATGGGTGGAGGAAGGTGCAGTAAAAGAAAGATGGTCCAGAAAAGAGTAATACTGAGGACACGGTTAGAGCCAAGAATGAAACTCAGATTGGTAACAACATGTAGGTGGTAATAACATGTTTTGGGCTCAAAGGGAAGCTGCAGACTTTAAGCAGAGAAGCTCCTCACTTTGCCTGAATCATTTTGTGTAGCAATGAATAGTGTCAGTGTTTCCAGAGTTTTGATGAGTGTTGCTATCTGAGATTTGGAGAAGCTGACACCTTTGCAAAATTAACCACAGCTAGATTTAGCGCATCCCAGTGTTTAAATAATACAACAACATTTTATGAGCAACCACAGGTGTGGCTTCCATGTATGACTCACACCAAAAAAAAAAAAGTTTTGTGTGGATGAAAATAGGCATTTTGGGCAGGGATTAAGCAAGGCCAGAATTACAATGCCGGATGGGTGTGTGTGTGTGGCAGGGGAAGGGTAACACCTCTTTCAGTCTATACAAAGGCTAATCACAATGCTACTAGGTAGAATTCTTTACAATTATATTTGACCAATATTAAGTACATATGATATAATTAAAACCATGCACTAAATTTCCAGTGGAAATGACATCTGAGAAACAGCTGCCAAAAACACTCATTCAGCTGCTAGGTTTTATTAATACTACCACTTTTAGAAAATATTTTCAGGAAATGAACACAATGCTTCCAGCAAATGAGTCAGTTTTACATGGATCAGGCCTGTAGAAGACTGGAAATTGATACAAAAAGTGAAGACCCTAACATCTTTTGCTATCCTCTGTGTAAGCCTTTTCCTCGTCAAATTTACTTGTGAGAGACAGGCATTTATGTTGTGCTGCGTGCGCCAAAGGGCCATGATCCTCATACTCCCAGTTGTCTTTGTATAGCTATCTGTTGTCGCAAACTGTCTTTTTGTTCTGTGTTTGTGCATAAGCTAGCATGGGACAGGAGGTGGGATGGGGGTGTGTGTGATCTAGGGCCAGGACTTTCATGCACTATGGTAATAAAAATAATTATTAATCCACTAGAAAGAAACACCCTGACCAAGCTCTGAGCCTGTGCATAACCCTGAATTCTTGACAAAGCTGCCTTGATATGTATACCACAGGAATCCGCCCCCAGTTAGGGTATGGCATCTTTGTGTAAGGTGTCATTTCTCTCTGTCATTCCAAACCTAGATTTGCATCACAAAATCTTTACACAGGAATAAAATCAAGGGTCACACAAGAACAAAATGTGAACTGCAGGTATGGAGGCCTGCACTAATTGCACTTCAATGGGACCAGTGTCTGTTGCCACCTAGGAATTCCTAGGAATACTAGGGTGTTGCTGTTTTTTTGTGTGTTTTTTTTTGGCTGAGGGACACTGAGTTTAACTGATGTTTATTCCTAGGCCCGGCCCGGCTCCCTAGGGCCTGCGAGAGACAAAAATGAAACCAAGCGACGACATTTGCAACAGCCACAAATAAAATACACGAGTCCGGGGGGGTGGGAGCCCTCACCCCCCAGAAGCCCCGTGGCACCAGTGGGTGCAGCAATTGTTAATGGTGCCGTAAACTTTTGTTGCAGAAAGTTTAGAACAAGATCGGTCAGCCCTCCCAAAATCTGATTTACTTTCTCCTTTGGTTCTGTTTCATGAGGTTAAAAAAAACCTCCAAAACCAGTGGCATAAGATACCTAACATTATGACTATGTATACTGTACCCTGGGAAGGAATTCACAGCATCATTTGCTTTATGACAAATATACAGGTGGGAAAGGGCTCACAGTTAAATGAGAGCAATGTGTCACCTAGCAGGCAACCCAGTCTCCCTCATGGATGAGATGGGGATTCTGGAGGAAAGGTGGAAGCCTTTATTATCCCTCAACTATAGACATGGAGTCTATAAATACGTTAAATCACATCTAATCCATCTGAGAGGGGCCAGTGCAGTAGAGTTCCCTTTTCTGGTTTCAAACCCCTCAAGCAGTGCAGCTTCCACAACTTCCACTGGGAGATTATTGTACAGCACTTAAAAAAAATAAATTATCCATATAGAAGACCTTTTATAGGGTCACCCCAACTCTTCAGCTATTGAAGGTGGTGTCACTAGTATTGATATATACTCATATTCCCCTCTGCTTACTCCTTGGCTGTTAAGGAGAGGACCATATTTCTAGTCACATATACTTTGAAATCTGCTTGTCCTGACCAGACCTCCCATCTAGCAAGGGCCTTTCTCTTATGCAGTACTGAACTCTGTCAATTTCTGCCTAGGTGAACACATGCTGCCCAACCCCTGCACATTCAAACCTGTGATCAGAAGCTCTTGTCAAGGCATCATATCTTGCTTGTGCAAGTCTTATGTGCCAGTGGATGAGCAGAAGAACCTCTGCTGGCTGGAACCTGCAGAGCTGCCCCTGTAGCAGAGAGGCTGATTGCTCATCTGGGTAGCTGGAAACATGACTTGTGACCCACGCAGGATTTATCCCTGAAAACATACAGGAATCCTGCACAGTCGAGGAACGTACACAAGATTTCCTTGGCCAATGCCCTCCTAAATTTGCTGCCAGTGAGAAGCATTAAGCCATGGCATAGGTTCAGGGTACCTGGGGAAACGTCCTCCCATAAGGCTTTTTAAAGGGAAAGTGGTCAGAGCACTGGAAAGCATGCTGTATGGAACAATCCTGTACTGTCCTTGATGAAATGGAAAAGGCCTATTAGCTCACGCAGTTCAGCTCCAACGTCTATGCTTCAGTTGACAAATAAGAATGGTAGCAGCTCAGGAGAGAAAGCGTTTGCACCATCATAGAAAGACACCAGTGACTGTAAATTTAGAGTCGCACAGGCTTGTAGTGTGCAATTCCTGTTAAAACCGAGAGTTAGGTGACTAAAACCTTGCAAAACTTTGGAAATTTGGGCGGGGGGGAAGACAGACATGTGAAAGGAAGATTAATGAGCTTAGATGCACAAAAATCAGGAACTGCCCAAGCTTCTCATTACTAAGCAAGCGCAACAGGCCCATATACAAAAACTGCCTCCAGCTTGAGAAGGAAAATTGACATGGCTAGATGAACAGGAGACATGTCAGCTCAGAGGATAAAGGACTTCTCTGCCTTCCCCACCCCCAAAAAACAAAGTTATAAGCACCTGAAAATGAACGTATTTCTGCCACCATAGCAAAAGGTATATGACTACCATGAAGGACACCATGTAACAGTATGTTAGCCTCTGACTCCACACTTTAATTGCCTGATTAAAATTCAGCATCCTTCTTAGCAAAGGTTATTTCCCAGAGATGTGAAACTCAGAGGTTGGTATGATTACACCAGTAGAATACAAAGTTATAACAGAGGAGGCAAAAGAGGGAGCAGGGTTTTTTTTAGCCAGATTGGCAGCAAAAAGGTTTCAGCACACTGGTGTTCAGTTCACCATCTCCACTCACGTTGTTTGCAATAAATCAGTACTGAGCATATATGACTGGGAGTTCCCGCAATACAGATATTCTTCCCGGAAGAGGCCATGGAACATTTCTGGAATTGGACTATTTACTATTATTCATGAATGTAGCGAGGCAAAAAAGGAAAAACAGAGAAGAACTTTTCCAGGGCATGGACTGGATTTTATTAACAATCTAATAGTGTCAGAGTTTAATGCATTTAGCATGAAGGGCTGCAGGTGCTAGCCCGTAGTGCTATGTTAGGTCAGCTTGAAGAATGACAACTTGCAAAGGACTGCTTTTTCTTTCACAGTGCTCATCCTCTTACTAAAGAAAAATAGTGGACAATGATTACTAGCAACTTAAAGCTCAGCAACTGCTCCAGCTTTACTCCATCTAAATAAAATCTCTTGCTCCCCTATAAAATAGAATTACTGATGCCTGGGCTACCCCTCTCATAAAGTAAGTTAAGGTCACTGTTAGTGAGCTGGACACTTTAGGTCAGTATTAAGACCAAGTCTCTGTCCTGAGGAACTCATAAGTCAAAAGAGAGAGCACAGCCAAAGATTGGGATGACATAAACCGCAGCAGTGTTATGAGTGAACAGAGATACCTGCTTCTTAATTTGAGTTTAACCTTGGTTTTGTATTTTGTTCATCTGAGAAACCTCTGCTGAGGGCAGAACTAAGGCTCTCAGCCTTTCAGAAGCAGAGTGCTTTGAGGAGAGACTTGAAAGAGAAGGTGAAGGCATGACTGACTGGGCTAGGGAGGGGTTTCCAGGAATCTGAGGCCACGTGGAACAAGGCCTGGAGACAAGAGTGGGAGGAGGACATGAAGGGGGTGGTTAGTCATGCAGCTTGGGTGGAGCAGACAGGGTAAGGGGGCGAGGCAAAAGGAGAAACATTTCTAGTGAAGCGACACCTATTAGGCTACAGCATGGCTGATAATCAGCACTGAAAACAGGCTGCAATTTAGTGTTGCAGCTGGTTTGTCAGCTACTGTGGGAAGATACTTGAGAACGTGTGGTGTGGTCAGGCACGTAATTAAATACAGCTCCACTTTAATGACAGGCTGTAGCGGCAATTCCTAAATTCATACTCTGCCTGAGAGGAATTCAAAAAAGCCCCAATGCTCTTATAGACTGTATTAAACCCAAGCACAGAAATACTGCTGAGATGATGTATTCTAGTAGATCTCAAACTAGCAGGGGAACAGACTCACCTGGGTGGGTCCAGAGCAGACAACAATAGGACTGGAAAAACAGGCAAGTGGTTACTTGAAAGCCACTTAACTTTCCTCTGGGCTTCCACAACAACCCTCACTGCAGAGGGCTTTAGGGACAGCACAAGCCCAGTGACCCACATTTCTCCTTTACTCCACTGGTACTCAGTGAACCTGCAAGTATATATGCGACTGGCCGATGATGCCACCAACAGCTCTGAGCAGGGTTAGATGAGATTGTGGTAAAGTCACCATGCCACCAGAACTACAGCAATGGTGGGAATTTTTAAGAGAGCTTCATGCAGGTGTAGCCTAGAGGTCTCTAACTATAAGAGCTAAATAATTAGCTTTTGTTGCAAAAATAAAAAGCCGTAGGTGTGGAAATTCAGTGGATATGGAACCCCTATAAACATGGGCCCTACTTTCCTTGAAATATCACTTACCTACCTCACAGGGTTATTTGGACTTACTAGCTAACGTGCTTAGATTACAAGATCATTAAGTCAGGGACTTTATCTGCGTGCTTGTCTATTCATTGGTGCTATGTACTAATATCTTTTCAGGGTTCATGCACTAGGTAAGTATTGTGTTATATAAACAATGCTGCCAGCGTCTTTCCTATTGAACAGAAAAATTAGTTTGAGTATAGAGTTATACTTTATTTCACCTAGAAAAAACATCCCTTCCCCTACCTTCCCTCTGTCCACTTTTGGACTTTTTAGCCTCTGAGCTCTTCAGGTCAGGAACACTACTGACCTCTTTTGTGTTTGCACAGCGGGTAGCACATTGTGGGTGCTACCGGAAACAATAATCAATAATAATAGGTTTACTAATCTTGATAGGCTGTGTATCATGAATTTATGGCACATCTTATTGGCCAACATGATAAATTAGAGACACACCCTAAAATAGGCTGGCAAAGCTACACAATGAAATGAAACAAGAACAGAAGATGTATGCAACGTGAATGAGTAAACACTGCTGTAGGAACCTTAAGATTAGATCAAGAATTGCAAAAGTTAACTGTGAAGCCTTAAAATGTTGTATTAACATGGTTTGCATTTATGCAAATTTTCCTTTTAGAAAAACCACACTGAAAACTAAAATGCATGAGACTTACATAAACCACCAAATAAATCAAGAAACATTACATATATCATAAATAAGTATATTATAACTTTATTAAATTCAAGACATGACAATATTCAAAATAAAACAAAGTGAATAAAATCCTTTTGTTCAATACTGTACACATAATGCAGAAATATCAGTGCATTTTCTATAGCATGTATTTCACCTTCATTTAGTTTGTACTAAAACATAAAAGTAAGCTTTAAAATAGCTCAAATATCTCATTCAGCAGTTTAAACTGTAAACAGCTTGTTCATTTCTATTAGGAGGAGAGCATTATAGTAATGGACCTCCATTAATGAGCACCTCTTCTCTTGTGCTTATCTATAAAAGGATAAATATGTGGAAGTATGCACGAGAAACAGCTAATGCACAAGTGTTGCATCTCCCCGGACCTAAGTGGAACAGTGAGGCAGACTAAGGGGGGGGGGGGAGAACAAACAGAAAGAAGCAGTATCTGAAGCAAAGGCAGATGTGACTGACACGGTTTGTAAATGGAATCATGTTTAATTTACCAAAAAAACAAACTACACAACCAGAAAATACTGAATAGAAACCAGAACACAAGACCAGCTTGTGTTGTGTGTTTCTGTTTATAATAGTCAGAAGTTTGTATACTGTACCAAATAAGGATGTAGTCATTGCTGACCATTTACTAGCAATTGTGGATAGATACCTTTCCCCTGTCAATTTTAGGGCACTAACATGCATTCCTTGGACCCCTTATGAAGAGAACAATGGGTGAAGGTTAGCAGTACCTGGTCCAAGTCTCTGCTAGGAAAATCTGCAGAATTCTGCCATGTGCCTTTCAGAGTAACAGCCGTGTTAGTCTGTATTCGCAAAAAGAAAAGGAGTACTTGTGGCACCTTAGAGACTAACCAATTTATTTGAGCATGAGCTTTCGTGAGCTACAGGTCACTTCATCGGATGCATACCGTGGAAACTGCAGTGTGTATATAAAGTCTGCTGCAGTTTCCACGGTATGCATCCGATGAAGTGAGCTGTAGCTCACGAAAGCTCATGCTCAAATAAATTGGTTAGTCTCTAAGGTGCCACAAGTACTCCTTTTCTTTTTGCCATGTGCCTGTTAGTGGGTGAAAGAATCCAAGAGGCACCATAAAAAAAGCAGAAGTCTAACCCCTGTCGGAAGCCACTTCACTAAAAATTTTACTTATATCCTACTAAGTTTTCAAAATATTGAAGATATTAAAAGAAGTCTAAACACTTTCCAATACACTTCCAAGTCTTTAAGTAGATGTCAATTTCCTTCTAGCCAGGTTAGCACATCCAAGCTAAAGAGAACAGGGTTTGTTCCCAGCAATGCTATTTTCTGCAAAAGATTTTAAAATGCCAAGCCTATTATTTTGGAAATGCCTGTGATATAAAACAAAAATACTGTACTGCACTTTCTTCCCTGATTTCGGTTTCAGACATCAAAACTGGATTTTTTCTTAATATGCCTTTACAAAATATATTACTTTAGGATAGTGTATAACTGGCCAACATGGCTATGGTTACTCCATGCGTTTCTATAAATGCTTTACAGTCTTCAATTATACAGACCAAGATAGGCTTAGTCCAGACAAACAATTCAGAGATATGCATCGTAAGACGACTTTACCATTGATACTTCACTTTTCTGCTGAAACAGGAAGAATTCCATTACTTCATTATTTGAGAACCTTTCCTTGGATCTCAAAAACTTAGCAACATGGTTAAGATCTACTCCATCCTAAGCAACTATCATGAATTATGTTCCAAGAATCTATGGAGAAACCACATAAGACAGGTGTTTCCGTTTCATGTGGCCAACCATGTCCATTCTAGCTTTTGAGTCCTGCTTTGCTGTGGCAGCAGCTGTGGTGCAGTCACCAGACCAGGACTTCATTTCTGTGCTTGAGCTGGTTTCTTCTGCTTCTCTGAAGAATTTCTCATACTTGTCCAGATATGAAGGCCTTTCAGGCAACAGATAGTAGTGTGTTGAACTGGCCTTCTTACCATTTTCAATAATGGGAAGAATGCAAGGGACCCTGTTCGCAGATCCATCACTGTTTTGTCTTTGTAGAGCTTTGCTGCTGACATATTTAGGATCAGGGGCAAAGCTCTGTGTGGGGGGCATGACCCCATTGAGGTACAATGGCAGACTTTTAGGGCTCGGTGTACGGGAATTGCTCCGTGATAAAGGTTCTCTCGGGGGCACTTTGGGAGGCCTGTCTTCATCACTGTATGCGCTAGAAGTGACCTCTGCTGACCACCTTCTATAATCCGGTTTGAGCGCCCTAGGAGGTATGGGAACCCTAGGGGGGACCTCTGGTTTGTCTTCATCAGAATTAGGAGAAGCCCTATTTAAGTGGCTAGATAGCCTCACTACTGGTTTATTAAATGATCCAGCTGGCCCTGAATGAGACCTTCGTAAACGCCGATGCAGCTGTTGTGGAGGAGGACATGGGGTTTGTGTACATCCATTTAGGTTATTTGCAGAGTTGTTATCTTCTGTTTTCGGTCCTGCTGGGGCATCAAAATAGGCATAATTGATCTGTCCGCAACCCCTAAAACTCCGCCTACTTGGAGCACTGGATTTAAAAGGAGGAAGTTCATAATCATCTAACAAAAAGTCAGTGTCTGAACTTGTTAAGAATTCCACCTCTCTGTCGACATCATCTGGAGAGAGGTCCTCAGAAATGGGCAGTGGAGGTAGTGGCCTAGAGCTGCGGTCACTGGAAGATGCAGAAGAAAACTGAGGTGGTCCACTCTTTGTCAGTGTATGAGGAGGCATCTCCTCAGAAACACAGCCCACAGTTACCGACAGTTTGCTGAAACTAGGAACAAGATAATCTTCATGCTTTGAACTAAGCTTCTCACTTTTGGGACTAAGAGGAGATGGGCTGGATTTCTGAGGTGGGACCCTGACACAGCTTTCAGTAAAGCAGTAGCCATTTGTTGGTACAGGGTTTGAAATGTGCCCTAGGAGGGGAAAATAAAGTTAAGAATGTCTGTCTACATCCCCACCACCATGAATTTGTGACAGATGATCTAGCCATTCATTTGTTCCCAATTCAGCACTAGGAAAAATGCATCCTTAATACCTTAATTAACAGAACTCTTAACTACAGTAATCCTGAAACACACCTGCATAACAATATGTTTATGAACAGCCAGCTGTTGTCCCATACATATAGCTTGCTTTACACAGGACACTGCACCATTCCTAAGCAAGCTTCACAGCATGCATCCTCAGAGTACTCCTTGAGGGATTCTGTGGGACTGTGCACCCACAGAAAATGGCCCCCCACAGATTTCCTGTGTTTTCCTGCAGAAAATGGCAGGGAAGCAAAGGGAAGCTGCGCGGAGGGATGACCGTGGGTGCTGTTTGGGAGCATGGGGGGAACTGCCCCCTTCCAAACAAAGGTGAGGCATGGGGGGGGGGCACACAGGATTACATGCCACTGCCCCACCCCTCATTCTGCAAGTGCAGAGCTGCCCAACTGAACGAGGCTGTGTCGGCTCTGAGAACTCTGCAGCTGAACGCTGCCTCCTGGGTCCTAGTGCTAGTTATCTGCCGCTTCTGTGTGCTGGGAGCCTTCCTGCTTTCTATTACGTGCAACAGAGTGCCCACGGTTGGGCTGGGTAATTGGGGGAGGAGGGGGAAAATGAGGGAAGGAGGGGGTGAGTAGGAAGAGGCAGTGGGGAAGGAAGGGTGGGTGGAATAGGGCAGGAGGAAGGGAAGGTAGGAGTGAGGGTGGGGGATGGAAAAGAAAAGGGGATGAGGAATCACAGGAAGAAGCAGGAGTTCAGCATGTGGCATCCCCTTGGCAGCAGCTGGGGCTCCCCCGTTAAGCAGGCCCACCAAACCCCCGCCCAGACAAGCCCTACCTCCCTACACTCGGATCCCTCCAACGAGCCCCCCCACACCACTGATCCCCAACCAGCTGCACCTGGACCCCCACCCCATCAAGCCCCATCTCCCCACACCCACTGAGCCCCAACTACCTTCACCTGGATCCCCTGCAGAGTCCAATTGCCCATGCATCCAGAACACCCCAACGAGCCTCTGCATCCAGATCTCCCACTAAGCCACCCACACCCAGATTGCCCCACACAGAAACCTCTCACCTGGATCCCCCTACACTAAGTCCCTCCACACTTGGATCCTGCTGAGCTGAGCCTACCCATCCACACCTGGTGCACCTGGCAGAGAGGGAAATACCCTGGGACATTTCTGGGGCAGGCCCAGCCCTTGCACTGTGTCAGTGTCAGGTGTACCCTCACTGCTGAGTCTCTATACTGGGCGCAGGTGGGGGCTTCAGGGTGATCTCCCACCTCAATGCTCCTCCTGTGCACCCCACTGCCATGCTGGAGCCACATTTATTGACGAATAAAATTTGCTGAATTTTGCAGAATTTAATATTGTGTGCATAATTTTAAATTTTTTGGTGCAGAATGCCCTCAGGAGTATCAGAGGGAGAATATTCAACACCATGTAATATATATATGACTTATATTATAGCAGTGCTCCAGTTAAATAAGACAATTAGAGACTCATGGCACAACTTAGATTAAAACAGGGATGTCTCTCCATGAGAGATGTTTTAACATGCAGTTGATTTGCCCCAACCACTTTGCAACTATTTCCACAGAGTTCTATCCTCGTTAGCAGGTTTTGCTAAATATTTGACAACACAACTATTTACACTAAATATTTTCCTCAGAACAAATAAAAGTATACTATTAAGATACTAGGTAGAAAGTCAGAAAAACGTTGGAGGAGAGCCAAAGTGTTTAAATCTGTCACTAGAGGGCAGCCTGGTGTCTAAAATCAGAAAGGTTTCAGAGTAGCAGCCGTGTTAGTCTGTATTCGCAAAAAGAAAAGGAGTACTTGTGGCACCTTAGAGACTAACATTTATTTGAGCATTTGTTAGTCTCTAAGGTGCCGCAAGTACTCCTTTTCTTTCTCCTATTGTAGATATTAAAAGGGACAGATTTTCTCCAAAACCACTTCCACTAAACAGTTTGTATCAATACAACTCAAAATCTTCTGTGTACATACCAATAGATGTACAATGTTGCTGTGCTGATGGATTCAGATTGTATGTCATTGTTATAGGGTCCATGTTAAAGAAAGTCCTGAAAAGGGAAAAAATATTCTGAGTCAGTGAACCATGAACAAGCCCTAATCCCAGTAATTGGGTCCATCTATGTCACTTGCTTGGTAAGAACTCTCAAATCCACCTGCAAGGTTAATTTTCCCCACTTACTTTTCGAACCCATTGTGGCCGGTCCAGCAGGTTTTCAGACTCCCTATGCCTTGGCCATTATGGAGAAATCCAGTTTTTAATGGACCTCTCATTTCTTGAGCAGCAACTCCTGCCGTTGACATTGTGCCTTGCTCTGCAATGTCTCCAAATTTTAGAAATCCACAGTTCTTGCCAGGTATCCTGCAGCTTTCATTCCCTTCAGAGGAGAGGAGGGTGTAAGTACCACTAAGCAAACATGAGTGAGTCTCTCATTTTAAATGCCACCCAACTCTCTGAATTACAGTGACTCCTTTGTGAGAGGGCCCCTCTGGCCCAAACACCTGCTGAAAAGAAGGAAATATTTCACACATCAAAGTGTTTGTCCTTCTGTTTCTGTGACTGTAAAAACAAATCCAATAATTAGAAGTAGTTCTGTAAGAGTTCATTTTTGGAGAAACATCAATCCAAAGATTTTCAAGTTTCAGTAAAACAGGTGATGAATAGAAGTTTTATGCCAGCAAATTCAGACCTTGTACATATATTGACAGTTACTCAGACACACCAACTTTGCCAAAACATACAAATCGTTGTATAACATTGTATTAGACAAACCTCCTTCTGTATTTATGTGATAAGGAGTCACTTTGCCAAGGGTTTTAACCTAAAAGGAAGCCAAAACACAATAGCCTGACTTCAAATGTAATCTGGTCAAAGACTCATTCTAATAGACTAAATATAAAGTGACTGCTTAAATCAAAGGTTTGATCAATTCACAAGGGTTTCAGATAAGATCATTATATTGAATAATTAATCACTTTAAGTGTTAGCTACTAGAAATTGATTTGTTGGTCTCACAAGGTTTCTTCCTAGCATGTATACCACAACAGTTCCAAGCAATGGGGTTGAGCAAATCTAAACGAAGTAGAGTCATCCTTTTCTACAAAGCTTGTTTTGAATCTGTGCACAATAGTTTAGTAGGCACATTTACATTGGGAAACAGAAGTTCTGACAAACACTTGAAATTCAATTAGAAATTGTAATATATGGAATATGCTGCTTTACAAGGTTTTGCTTGTGTGAACCCACCTACTCTCCCCACAATTTCTGAAAGATCAGCTGTACATTCTGGACAGTGGAGAAACTGCAACTCAGTGAAACAAAACTGCATAAAGTGAGGAGGATTAAATATAACAAGGCAGGAGAACCTCAGTCTCCTCACCTGAATAGAGAGATTAAATGCCCTAAAATCACTTTAGAACAGACCCTTTACCTGCTCAAGGAGTACAGTGTATTGTTTAGGGCAAGATAAAAATGACATTTACATGATCATGAAGAGATAGATGTTTACTGAACATGATCAGTTATACTCCACATCTCTGGGTACTTGAAAGGAAACTCTCTCCAAAAAGTAAAACCCGACATGTGTTTGGGACCAGATCATGCTCTGGCATGCTTTTTAAGGGATACCCAATGAATAGTCTGTACTGTTGGTAAGTTCGGTTCTCTCCCACCTCCCCTGCCTTTCATTATTCTATCCCCTAGAAAGCATGTTCAAGAATAAGTAAGGAACCTGCCTGTTCTCTGTCGAGAGAAAGCCAGTTTGTGCCCAAGAGAAATGGTACAGGAATAAGAGTGCATTCTTCTGCACCGATAAATTAACCTCCTGTTCCCATGATACTGGAAGAGGTAGGTTCCACAGAACCATCTGCAGTTTTAAGGGGACATGGTACTCAGTCCTAAGTATGGGACAAGGCAAGCTCTCCAGAGTTTTAACTCATGCTCTAACACCAACTCTTGCTGCTACGTAGGGCAATAAGTCATTTATTTTCTCTGCTTCAGTTCCCTCAACCATAAAATGGGGAAAAATACTAATTTTTCGGCCTCATAGAGGCAAGAAAGATAAATGTCTGCAAAATAGTTTGAGACTGTATACATGTTTGTAATTCTTAATGAGAGCCAGTAATACAAGATAAAGCAACATGGAGGTTTTACAAACCATGAATAACCATGCACACATTTGCATCAATGCAATCAATGCAGGTGGTTTTCTTTCTTTCTCCCTAAACCCAAGTGTTTTTAAGGCCACATCTATACTACCTGCCGGATTGGTGGGTAGTGATCGATCCATCTCACATCTAGTGTAGACATGATAAATCGATCCCCGATCGCTCTGCTGTCGACTCCGGAACTCCACCAGGGCAAGAGGCGGAAGCAGAGTCAACGGGGGAGCGGCGCTGTCGATCCCACGCTGTGAGGACGCAAAGTAAGTGATTCTAATTCCATCTAAGATACATCAACTTCAGCTACGCTATTCTCGTAGCTGAAGTTGCGTATCTTAGATTGACTCCCCCCCCGCGTAGTGTAGACCAGGCCTTAGTCAGACATGTTGCCAGAATTTAGAAGGGAGAACATCAGCTTTGCTGGAATGGTGCAAGACTCAAACTCTGCCATTTTTTCTATGACAGGATTGCACCATGGTCTTTTAAAAAAAAAAATCTTTATTTCAGCTCTTCCCTTTTCATAGATACTCACTATTGAAACAGACTATAAACTTCTTAACTATGAGACACTAAAGAGCAGCATTTATTTTTAACGTTATCTAGTTAATTCTTACATCACTAAATCAAGTTAGAGACACTCATCAAACAATGGAAGCTAGGGTGGATAAAAATCTATGATTAAAAAACAAAAAATCTGTTTTTTTTATTTAAATACATTTTTCTTTTTAAAAATAAACCAATTTGAAATTATGATAACTTACATTAAGGCATAAATTAAAAAAGTAAAAGCTATTAACCTGAATAAAATGTATGTTAAGCTATATAATTATTAAATAAACTTGGATAGCTACAGTGTATCCTCCTGGTTAGCAAAAAGTACCAAATTTAGTGTAACGGCTATATTTAGTTCCAAATCAACATGTTTGAATGGTCACCAACCAATAAGATTAAAATTTTCTTTAAGAAATACATGGATATGTAATTCTGGAAAGCGATTAAAGCCATTCTATTAGCGGATAACTAGCAAATGAGTTAAAGATACATGAGACTCCAGTTAAAATATTAACCTCTCATTCTTTCAGTTGTACAAGCACAAACAGGGCTATCCACTACGGGGCTGAGACTCAAGGTAGGACACTGATCCTCAAACTCAGTTTCATGTAGCATTAAAGAAAGACATCAATCCATGCCAGTTTATATCACATTGAGCAAGTGTCCTAAACTAGAAATGTTTGTTCCAATTGGAGTTTGACTGCTTATGTCATGAAGTTGTGTCAACATTTTAAGTCTTCACTTGTTGCCTAGAGGACAGGTAAGGGCTCAATTTACTAGCTACTTCACACTTGTTAAATTGTTAGAAGTGACAAGAATTAGAAAATGCAGTTTAAAAATAATTAATCTGTAGGCTCAAATACTAAGAATGGGTCCAAGCGTTTGCACTAGATTTGATTTACCCCAGTGTTTTCACCTTATTGTGCTTACAAGAACTGGCAAGACCATAGAGAAAGTTTCAGAGTAACAGCCGTGTTAGTCTGTATTCGCAAAAAGAAAAGGAGTACTTGTGGCACCTTAGAGACTAACCAATTTATTTGAGCATGAGCTTTCGTGAGCTACAGGTCACTTCATCGGATGCATACCGTGGAAACTGCAGCAGACTTTATATATACACAGAGAATATGAAACAATACCTCCTCCCACCCCAGAGAGTGAATTTGTGTGGGGGGGTAGAAGGTGAGAAAACCTGGATTTGTGCTGGAAATGGCCCAACCTGATGATCACTTTAGATAAGCTATTACCAGCAGGACAGTGGGGTGGGAGGAGGTATTGTTTCATATTCTCTGTGTATATATAAAGTCTGCTGCAGTTTCCACGGTATGCATCCGATGAAGTGAGCTGTAGCTCACGAAAGCTCATGCTCAAATAAATTGGTTAGTCTCTAAGGTGCCACAAGTACTCCTTTTCTTTCATAGAGAAAGTGTCTGTTGCAGTATAAAAAAACAAGCTGAAATAGGAAGGAGACTGGTGTTTAAATAGTTTGAAAGCACATGTAGAGTAGAGTGCTTACTCTGATTACATGAAAAAGCCTGCAGGGATTCTAAGAGGACCAGCCTCCACCTGCTCCCATGCCAAAACCACTAGTAGTAATTAGTGTATGTGTCAACCTCCTAAAATGCTGTCTAAATCTCAGCTTTCAGAGTGATTGTGCAAGTATTACCTGCTTTGAAATCCCCTTGGAGTTCTAAGCTTCCATTTCAATAGATACTTAAATATTACACTCAGAAAGGTACTTCTCATTATTTTTTTAATTCAGAAAACTAGGTGATGGAAACAAAGACAAGTTGTGCGTTCATAAAGCCTACTCACTTCAAACAATAATCTCTTTGTGAATTCATAGAAGGTGACCTGCCTCTACATTTCAACAGGGAAATGTGAATGGACTGTTATGAAACTGTCCCAGCTTCCTATGTTCTTGAAGTGGGAGTAGGAGGGGAAGCAAAAAGGGCAACATAACTGCATGTTCTCCTTTACTACCAAGTCAGTTTTACCTTTTTGCATCCTGGGTTTAAAGAGTTTGTGCTACTATTTTAAAATATGTAGCAAACTGCTTAGCATTGCGAACTTGAAGCTTAGTAAAGAGCAAACCCTGAGAATCTATGAGAGACAGCTGCATTAACTCTTGCTTTTGGATGGTACACTCTCAATAAGGTTACTGAGGAATACATTCGAAAAAGTCAGTTTTGTTCATGGATTTATGAACAACATTAATTTGCAGCAGAAACTCATTTTACAGAGAAGGTGGGGTGAGACCATCAGTTATGTGACAGTTACTGGGTTTGTGGATTAGCAAAGATTTAATAAAATATTGTACTTTCATGAAATCACATGACAATTTAATTCATTTTACAAAATATAATAGGATATACTAGCCATACCATAAATAAAGCTAAATTACTGTGTCCTTGGTTTATGATATTTGTTGTGCAAATGAATGAGTTAGCAAGTATGGTTTTCACAATGGGTTTCCCAGTTATACTGATAAACCCTACTTGCCTGGACTAAGGTGATTAGAAAGATACACAAATTATAATATTTTCAGGAAGTCCTCACAGGCTTGTATCTAGTCAAGAAGCTAAATTACTATAAAGGAAAACTACAATTAGTTCTTGCTTCAGTCACTAAACTCAGGAGACCCAAGCTAAAGCAATGTAAAATAATGGGTTTGTGACAGTTTGTGATCAGCCATTGCGCTCCATCATGGTTAGCAACGTAACTAGACAAGGAGGGAATTAAATTTAAAAACATTCTTCCCAGACCATATTGCGACAAGTATAAATATTTGGATGTTACAATAGTATATAATATATGGCATGCCCTATGTAGATTTTTAGCAGCTCTCCTTCTGAAAAATATATCTATGCACATACTACAATTACATTGCAGCTACAATATTTGTTTTTCATATCTGACCAGAAATTAAAATGTGAATTTCCATTTCTCAGCTTCAACTCAGTCTATTGTTATGATCTTGCAGCAATGTTTTATTAGACTGCAGCCATTTTTTCTGAAAGCTATGGAACATTCAGATACCTCAGTTATTTATTTTTTGGCATTTCTGTCAGGCAATCACCATTACAGTACTCAAATTACTCCTGGGTGAATTCTGCGCAGAATTCATGTCCCCCGCAGATTTCTTAGCTTCCACACTGAAAAATGACTTTCTGACAAGGAAGCAAAGGGAAGCTGCAAGAGCAGTCACGCACCACTCCCTAGCAGCGCAGGTACAGCATTTCAGGCACCCAGAGCAGACGGCTGAGAAGTAAATCATCGCGGGGTTGGGGGCACCCCAGTGGCTCCTACCCTGAGCTGGGATCAGCTGCTAGTCCCAGCTGGGCTGGAGGCAGGAGAGGATGGACTTCTTCTTCCCCTCCAAGTAGTAGCTGAGGCTATGTCAGACCAACCCTCAGAAGCCTCCCCCAGACCAACCCTCAGAAGCCTCCCCTGCTGCCCCCATCACTCCTCAGCTGTCAGGGGAGGGGTCACTGTACGGGGAGCTGCTACCCCATCCACTCAACCCCGTGCATCCAGACCTCCCATACCCAGACACCCTTGCCAAGCCTCACCCAGTACATCCAGAACCCCCCTGATCCTCCATGCCCAAAACCCACCCCACTGAACCTCAACCCCTGCATCTAGAGCCCCACTGAATCCAGACTACCAGCCTCCAGACCCACCCCTGCACTCAGATCACCCCCCACAGAGCTCCCTGCACTCAAACCACTACCCTGAGCCCCCACATCCAGACCCCAACACCACTGACCACCAACTAGCTGCACCCAGACCCCACCCCAAGCCCCACTCCCCCAGCACTCAGAGCCCCCACCCCCCACTGAGACCCCCACACCCAGACCCCTCCACTGATCCCCAACAATCTTCATCTGGAAGCCCGTGCAGAGTCCCATTGCCCCTGCATCTGCAACCCCCCAATGAGCCTCTGTGCATCCAGATTCCCCCCCACACACACAGAATCCTTTCACCCCATACTGAACCCCTCCATACTTGGATCCTGCCTGATTGAGCCTACCTGCCCCACACCTGGTGCAGAAGGGCATGGCCCCTGGGTGTTTCTGGGGCAGGCCCAGAACTTGTGCTGTGTCAGGGTCAGATGCAGCCTCACCGCTGAGTCGTGTCCTAAGGGTGGGGTGGCTGCAGGGTGATCTTCCACCTTCATGCAGCCAGTGGCCTGTGCTCCTCACTGCCATGCTGGAGCCTCTGCATTTACTTATTGACAAATAAAACTTGCAGAATTTTAAAATACTGTGCACAGAATTATTAAATTTTGTTGTCACAGAATTCCCTCAGGAGCATCAAATCATTTTGATATGCACAGGAGGTCAAACTGTGCTTTCAGGATGCACTACACGTAATGGAATTGGATGCAATTTGCAGTGAAAATTGTTGAATGCCTACAAAAAACCTGGACAGGGATTACACTCTGTGATGCTACCTGCTGAAGGGATAACAGATCATGCTCTATGACATAAGGAAGTATAAGCTGCATCCATCTACTACACATTCTTAAAAGGAAAAACATTGCTACTTTAAAGCAGTAAGAACACATGTTCTTAACCTAATTTTGCTCACCTTGCCACCACGTATCATTAACGAATCTCAGAAGCAATTCATAGGAGGGGCACATTTTTGTCATACAAGTCATCCGTTCAGCTTAGCTCTTCCTTATTTGACAATATGATGTAATTTCCTCCTATAATATACTTTTAGAAGGAGATTTCTGTTAATTTGGAATGATCGCTAACCCTTTATGCTGTTTTTAACATTTAACCATTTCAGATCCTAATTGGAAAGCCTATTGATGTTACTATTTAATCTACCTCCTGAAACTCATGGCATGCTGTAATTAGGCTTTGAAAGTCGAGTTTCTCCAGTGGTCATTATATAATGCCAAGAAACTCACATCTGGCAAACAGTCCTAAGAACATGGCTTTTTAAAAACCATTTGTTTTATACGATTGTATCTTATTTATAGAACACCATGGTAAGTGTGCTTAGTGCTTTTCAGAACAAGACAGTCTCCAACCCACATCTGCGATCTAAATCACACAGTACTTCATGTGACCAAAGACTGAAAATTAAATCCTTTATTGAGAGCAAGTGGTAGCTTGGTGCACACAGACAGGAAGACTGTTCAAAGCATAAAGGGCAGCAAGCAGGGTGAAGATGACAAAGGAACAAATAGCAGCTTGGAAAAAGATGGATGATAGAAATAAAAGCAGAGATGGGCAGAAGTGGAGTTGTGTAGAAGCTTAAAGTTGTGGTAGAAGAACAGCTAAAGCAACTAGAACAGCCAAATTATGTGACAGAGTTGTGGGAGACAGTGATTTTTGGATGGAATGAAGGGACTTTTCTATTTGCCATCTACAGGGGACTTAGCCCAGGTTTTAACTGTACTTAATTTGGTGATCCAAAAACAGTATTTAGGAGAACTTCTAAATTGCAGACTAAAAACTAACAATTAAGTAGTGAAATGACTGCCCTGCCTCTGCTTGTCAGATTTCAGTCTCATATTCAGCCTTGATATACAGCGGTGGTTCCCAACCTTTCCCAACTACTGTATCCCTTTCAGGAGTCTGATTTCAGCTCTGGGCAGCGGGGCTTTGGCTTGAGCCCCAGGAGGCAGGCTTGGGCTTCAGCATGTATCTTAGCTTCATGGGGCCCCTGCTTGCCACCCCGTACTACAGGCCCTGCACTTGCAATCGCCCTAAACCCATCCTGAGGTTGAGAAACATTGATATTGTATATAGAGCAGTATAAACAGGTCATTGCCTATATGAATTTTTAGCTTGTACTGACTTCACTAAAGCTTTTTATATAGCCAGTTGTAAAACTAGGCAAATATCTAGATGAGCTGACATACCTCCTGGAAGACCTCTATTGCCACCCCCCAAACCCAAACCCCACCCCCGAGAATATATGTACCCCGGGTTGAGAACCACTGGTGTATAGTATCATGAAGTCTTATAGTGGATATAGCCAGCTCACATTTAAAAAATAAGACACACAACTTAATGCATAACTGGTTCAAATTCTGCCAACACCTAAATAACTATACTAAATTTGATAAATTCCACATTACTGTACCAGAAATTCAGAATTAAGATTTTTCACTTCTACAATACCTCCTGCGCTTGGAAGGAGGGAAGGTGAGGGTCTTGAATCAAAACTTTAATTTCTCTCTCCAAAAGAAAGGTGTTAACTAAGCCCTAAAGAACCCTGTCAGCTTTCTGTCCTGGGCACACTTGATGAAAGCCTATTAGATTATTTGGATTTTGAAGACAACTTGCAAAGGACAGACAAATGAGTTTTGTGGCCTTTTTTAGCTTCTTTATGGTACATAAAGAACGCCTGAGAGGCTTGGTTAAAATATTCTGCTTGTTTTCTTCACGAGAAATGCAGACCACATCTGCCCTGGAGAACTCTATGGTGGTGGCAGAACTATAAAATAACATTGAAAGAGACTAAAAGTGGGGAGACTTCAGTTTGGCTTTTTAAAATGTAGGTTTGTTGTTTGTTTTTGCTACTACCTATTTTAACTCCTGTGTCTATTCAGTAGTTGGGACAAAGGCTGTCTTTGTTAAAGATTCACACTCTCCTCTTCCTCTCCTTACCCCCACCCCTTCAATTAATGTGTATGAGCTCACAATAAGCACCCGAGGCAAGCCCCCACTCCCCTGCCTCCCTGTGCCAAGATTAGGAAAGTCAGATTCAACATTCCTGATCTTTTCAAAAGGTAAAGGCTGTCTACATTGGCAACTGAAGGATAAAACAGTGTTAAAAAAAAACACACACACCCCTTGAAAAACAAAAGTTTTGCCAACAAACAGCGCTTTGTCCATAGGAAAACTCTCCTGCGGTTGGGGTGGAAGTTTTTTGTCGGCAGGAACACAGACTTATCACTGTGCCAGGGGAGTGCTCGACCCCCAGCTCTGCCGAGGCCCCACCCCCACTCCAACCCTTCCCTCAAGGCCACACCCCACCCCACCTCTTCCAGCCCCCTCTCCCAAATGCACCATGTCCTCCCTCCTTTCCCCTCCCCGCAAACAGCTGATTGAGGCAGGCAGGAGGTGCAGAGGGGAGGGGAAGGTGATGACAGGGTGGCTGCCGGTGGGTGCTCAGCACGCACCATTTTTTCTCCATGGGTTCTCCAGCTCCGGAGCATCCACGGAGTCTGTGCCTATGGGCGGGAGAGCTCTTTCCTGCCAACAATCAGCAGCTGAAAAGAACACTGGGAGCTGGTGGAAAGAGCGCCTCTGAACCCTGGTGTGCATCCTTCAAGCACTGTACCATAGAATGACAGATTCAAAAATCTGCCAGTGACCTTGTCCCTCAGAGCCTTTGCCATCCAATATACCATCCTTACCTGCAGACCAGGAATAACAGATCATGGCTAAATTATACTATTAAAAACCCTCAAGCTGTGGATAAGTTCCATGAGACCACTGAAGATTCAAAGCCACTATACACCATTCATATTGTGCAAGTAGAGTAGTGTGTATTCACAGGAAGTGTACAAAATGAAGATATATGTTATACATTAAGTGTACAGTGCTGTCCTGGGTTTTGAACATTAAAAATGGGCTATTTTGAAAAAAACCCAAGCCATGAGCCCATATTAAGGGCTAGAGTGATCAAGAAAATTTAAGTCATCTTAAATTAGTATGCAAAAAGAAGCATCTGAACCCACAATATGCTTTCAGTTTATTTAAAGGTTAACAAATCAAGTAGAAGGAAAAAGAGTTTCTACTACCCACTCTGATGGTTCAGTCCAGAGGAAAAATATTATGGCAGAGTTATAACTCCTGAAAACAGAAGTGTGTAATGGGAATACAGACCTATAACTAGCCACATTAAAGTGTGCTGCAATAAGTTAGACAGTAAATGTGTGAAGTGTAACTAGTTTTCATAAAACTTTGTATAAGTTTTTATACAAAAAAACCTTCCTTTCTATGCTGCTTACAAAGTATACATACTGGTGCAGAGTTTTAAACTATACATTTGCTTTCTCTAACTTCTACAGCTAGGTGATATAGAGTGGTCAATTGCACATTCATGTCCAGCTGTACCTGGAATTTCAGTTACTAGCTTTCAAACAAACAAAAATAAATTATCTTTTTCTGGCTCAGTTTCTTCATTCATAACAGAAGGTCTTGTTAATGTGCCAACAACATTTTAGGATGAAGAATGAGGGCCTCAATGCTGGTGTAATACTTAAGTACATTGAGGTCACTGGGACTACTGGTGTGAGTAAAGTTACACATATGCTTAGGTGTTTGTAGGATCATGGCTTAAAATTGGAACTTTTATATATCGTGTATTTTACTACTTGGCAAAATTAATGTAATTAAATTGCCTGCAGTATGCTCAAATAGCACAACAACATAGCCAGGTTAAATAATAAACATTTTCAGGAAAATGTTTCCCCTCCCCCTTCTAAAATCCAAATATTTAGTTAACCATTGCACTTGAATGCCTTATTAAATAATAAGTTACAGTAATAATTATGACTGAGAGAAGCAAGGGTAGACAAGATACAAGTATCATCTTTTTTGGATCAACAAAAGTAAAAATTACAAATTTTTGGACCTAAAACATCTTATCTTCAATACTGGCAGGTGACTCAGAAGTTAGGTGATTTTGTAACTTAGTTCATCCTATAAAATATCATTACATACTTAATATTTTTTTCTTTCAGGACCACTGTGACTAGTCTGTAATAAGGTAAACAATTAATGGTGAAGACTGACTAAAAGACTTTCCTTGCCTTCCAGAGAACTTGGAGCTAAAGTTTTAGTCACAGGCCCTTAGTTGCGCTATGATCCCTGTATCTGTTAGCTGAATTTAGGGAAGCACTTAAAGCTGGGGTTCCCAAACTGTGGGTCAAGACCCCAAGGTGCATTATGAACACATTTTAATGGGGTCCCTTGGGCTGGTGTTAGATTTGCTGGGGGCCAAGGCCTGAGGGCTTCAGCCCTGGGCACGAAGGCTAAAGTTACATGCCCCCACCCAGGGTGGAAGTCCTTGGGGTTCAGCTTTGGCCCCGCTGCCCAGGGCAGCAGGGCTCGGGCTCCAGTCCCCCCTCCTGAGGTCTCGTAGTAATTTTTGTTGTCAGAAGGGGGTTACAGTGCCCTTTGAGAACCACTGACTTGAAGTACAACTTTAAAAAAAAAGTTAAAGAGCTCTTGCATCTCTAGAATCTCAGCTCTAGGAGCAGTTCAGCCTATGGGAAGCCAAACACAGTCTACTAGAACCTGGATAAAAACAGACGCGGGTGAAGCCCCACGTTAACGGTCACTGACCCGCAGCGCCGAACGCAGACGGGTCTCGAGGGGCCAGGAAATAGCTGGGCACTCAGGGCTTCGGCCTCCCCTTCCCTCACCCGACAGCTGCCTGGTCACCAGTCCCGCCCCACCTGGCTGGCAGGTGCACCTGCAGTCACCCATACGCCTCCGCACAGTGCGGCCCCAGCCCGAGCCACGGGTGCGTGACTAACCCGCCAGGCCCGGTCCTGCCAGCCCAGGGAGCTGCTCTGCCCGGCGCCGCGGCTCGCCCCCTCCCAGCGCCCTGGCACCGATCGGACAGCGCGAGCAGCCCCTGCCCAGCTCCGGGGAGCGCGGGGCGCCTTCGCTCGGCTGCCCGCCGCGCCTCCGGGCCCGCCGCGCCGCGGGGAGCGGCCTTTCCCCGAGAGCCGCGATTGTTTAGTCCCGGCGGCCGCGGGCAAAGCCAGGCTCGAGGAGCCAGAGGCCGCCGCGCCTCACAGCAGGGCCCGGCTGCCATGGCAACGAGCGCTCCCGAGAGCGGTGCCTGGAGAAGTGGGGGCCGAGCCCAGGGTCCCTGGCGGGGCAGCCCCGCACTCCTGGAGCGCCCCGAAGGGGGCCGGTCCCGGCGCAGCCCTGCAGCCCCGGGAATCACTCACCCAGACGGCGCCGCGGCTCCGCATATCCCTGCCCGCCTTGGGGGACACTGCGCGTGCGCCACACTCAAACCCCGAGTACCCCACGAGCACGTTCCAAGTAAATCCTGCGCGCCCGCGGCTCGCAGCCGCCGTTCTTATACTGGTGGGCGTGGCCAACCCTGGAGACCACGCCCCTGGCCGGGCCGCGCCCTCCGCCATCACTGGCTTCAGAGATAAAATAAGCCTTAAAGGGGCGACGGCGGGTGCCGCGTGAGGGCGCGATTCTGAGGCAAGCTGACGCGGGCCGTGAGGCCCAGCGTGCGCGAGACAGAGACACGCCTCTGTGCGAACGGCCAATGGCACGTGCAGCTGCGCGGGCGGAGCGTTGCCCTGGCAACGGCTCCTGGCGTGTAGGCTGCCTCCTAGTTCCTCCTGCTACAGCACTGTCCTGCTTGGTGCCATGGACTGCCTCTGTGCAGCGCCCTGCACAGCCAGCCCCTGGGTGCTACTGCTACGCAAGGGACTAATGCTCAGAGTGCTGCCCCTCTGTGGTCTGTGCCTATAGGGGCAAGAGGCAGGATGGCCTAGTGGGTAGGGGAGAAGAGTGGGGGTTCAATTCACTGCTTTGCCACAGAAGCCAGGTGACCTTGGGCAAGTCACTTAGCCCCTCTGGGCCTCAGTTACCCATCTGTGAAACAGGGTTAACAGCAGTGCCCAATCTGTCAGGTATTGAGTGACCATATGTTAGCTTTTGAGATGCTCTGCTACAGCATTAATGAGGATAAAGACAGATATATAGTGTGCACCACATTTGTTCATAAAAACGTATTTCGTAAGTCTGACCCTGTTAATGCATAGAATTGTTGGACTGGAAGGGACCTCGAGAGCTCATCTAGTCCAATCCCCTGCACTCATGGCAGGACTAAGTATTATCTCTAGACCATCCTTTACAGATGTTTGTCTAACCTGCTTTAAAAATCTCCAATGATGGAGATTCCACAACCTCCTTAGTCAATTTATTCCAGTGCTTAACCACCGTGACTGGAAGTTTTTCTGAATGTCCAATGAAAACCACCCTTGCTGCAACTTAAGCCCATTGCTTCTTGTTCTATCAGAGGTTAAGTAGAACAGTTTTTCTCCCTCCCTTTTGTAACAACCTTTCATGTACTTGAAAACTTGTTATCATATCTCCTCTTGGTCTTCTCTTCTCCAGACTGAACAAACCCAATTTTTTCAGTCTTCCCTCATAGGTCATATTTTCTCATAATTTTTGTGGACAAATTCAGAATCAATACTATGTTGACAACTCCCATCTTAACATCTGTCTTTCTATAGATGTGACCAAGATCTCATAGTGCCTTGAAGAAAAATAGATTAATAGATTTTAAGGCTAGAAGGGACCATTTTGATCATTCCATCTGAACTCCTGCATAACAGACTGTAGTATCTCACACCCAAAAAATCTGCATCACTCCCACAACTTCTGCTTGAGCTACAGACAGCATATCTTTTAGAAAGGTCTCTAGTCTTGATTAAAAGACTTAAATAAATGGATGAAAAGCAGCTGACTCAAACCTAAACCAGGGAAGACAGAATTAATATTGGTAGGAAGAGACAGACATTCTGGAGAGGTGACTGAAACCTTGTCTTCAATAAAGGATAAAAATCTAAGTCATCTGCCCATCAAGGAGGTGTGCATCACACTGTACTCTTCTCTGTTGCTGGACAACACAGACTGCAACAGCAATGAGGATGACCTTCTCCCATCTCCAGGTGGACAGACCTTTCCATCATGATCAATGTCTTTCCTCAGTTCTAGTTTAGATTTCTGGTGGTGAAAATGAAGGCATTATGGAAATTCAACATGTATAACATGTAGCCACTGGCAAATTAAGAGAGCACATCTCTCTAAGCATCACATGATCCATTGGCTTCCTATTTATTTCTGGGTCCAGTTTCTATTCATGTCATATCAAATTGAAATCCTCTTCCCAATCTATAAATCCCCTAAAACACATTTTGCTATCCTTACACTGTGTAGTACCTTAATATTGCTTTCAGTGGGACTACTTATGTGAATAAGGGGGCAAAAGTAGGCCATGGTTGTTAGAGAGATTGCCTCTCTAGCTGCTACCCACTGAGAACATTACATTCTGGAAGAACTTTGCAGTTGACAGAGCCAAGATGAGACTCTTGGGACCGTGGGACAGAGTTTTCTTGATGGTCATTTAGACTGCAATCTCTGTAGGGCAGGATATTTTTTATTTTATGTTTGTACAGTGACAGCACAGTGTGGCCCCAATCCTAACTGGGGCAATAGCACTGTAATATAAATAATAAATAGTAAGAAGGTTCCTGACAGTGGAACTCATAACTGCAGGAGACCAAGTCTGAGTGTTTTCAGAACACAATGCAATTTTGGGGAGAAAATGCCCCACTGTCCTCTAAAACTACAATTTTTTTCACATGACCACATACTGAGAATAAGGTGGGAAAAATTAGGAAGAAGATGATGAATAGAGAAAAACAAAATGAAAGAAGCATGGAGGGTTGGAGAGGGTCAGGTCCATTTAGACAACTTTAGCTCCTAGATACCATGGCATACCCTTTATTCAGTTACTACAAGCCATGGCAATGGTAATGTTAGAAATAGAAAGTTAACTAGTATCACATTAGCAAAAAATATACACAGGAAAAATGGATAGAGCCACAAGAACAAAGTAGAGACTTTCTAATTTAATAGTCTCTGCTATCATTTTTAATTTTCTTCCTTTGGGAAGTCAGCTGTCTAAGTTCCAAGGGGTAACAATGCATCGTTTGTTGCAGCAGGTGATGGTTTATTGAACCAGGCCTTAAATCTAGGTTTTGTTTTTCTTTTTTCTGTAGAGGCAAGTAAGTAGCTGACTGAACCACTATGCAAGCTCATTTCAGGAAAAGCTGCATGGGAAGGGAATGTTCCATGAAACCCAGGGAACAGAAGCCTCATTGTTCCACTTTGAGGATTTTTCTTCAATTACGCTATCCCCTTGATGTGCCCTAGCACACCTTGATTGTCCATTGACACTAATAAAGGTAGTTAATCCTGCTTTGGACTAGATAAACTATTGGTCGCCTAGCAGACTGGCATGCATGCAACTCAGGGATACGTTGAGAAAGGTTGGATATTTTAAGTTTCAGAGTAGCAGCCGTGTTAGTCTGTATCCGCAAAAAGAAAAGGAGGACTTGTGGCACCTTAGAGACTAACAAATTTATTTGAGCATAAGCTTTCATGAGCTACAGCTCACTTCATCGGAAGCTTATGCTCAAATAAATTTGTTAGTCTCTAAGGTGCCACAAGTCCTCCTTTTCTTTTTGCGAATACAGACTAACACGGCTGCTACTCTGAAACCTTAAAATATTTTGACATTTATCATTACTATTCACTGCAACTGAATCCACATTAATCAACAATGCTAGAGAAAGATGCTACAGTAAATGTTTAAAGAGGTTATTAAAGAAATAGGTCAAAAAATTCTCAAACTTCTTGCAGGTTGTTTGAACTACCACTTTTCATTATGAACTAGTTTGTGTGTGTGTTTCCAGCTGGTTTATATGTATATGTACATGCATACACACACACACATACACATTTACAGAAAAGTCCTCTGGAATTTAATGGACTATATTACTCAGAAAATTATATCCCTTCTACAGACTTCTATGAAATAATTAACAAACCTAAATCAAGGTTAGCATTTTATATTAAGTTCTGTAGGTAGTTCTAAAGTCATTTCTGTAGAACTTATTACATTTTTATAGAATCCTATTTGTTTAACCCCTACTAAATTCTACAGGATTTTTTTTATAAAAGTATGGAGAGCCACAAATACGATTTGAAGTCTATGTGCTTATCTCTTTCATTCATAAGGCTGTGGGAAGGGTCAGTGCCCCACCTCACAACTTGATAAATTGGAACAAATATTAAATGAAAAGCCATGTGTTAAAAATACCTCTACACTGTTTCTGTGCCAGGGCTATATGCTTAACTGAGATGACAACTGTCACCTAAATTAGAAGGCAACACCAAAAACATATGTATAACTATTTTGCTACCTGCAAACCTGGCTGCTCCTCTCTCATGATCTGTCCTTGAATCCTCTGTTCAGTGAGGTCTGTCCCAACAGACAAAAGGCTATTTGGAACTGAATTAATCATTTGTTTGATGTTTCTCAATTGTCTTTTTATCATTTGCTTCCACTGTAGCTTCAGTTCTCTGCTTTTCCATTAAGGCTTATTTCTTTACTCAAATCCAGTTCCTGACTTCTTCCTAGTGAATATTGCCAGATACCAAACACATATATTTCCTGGAATTATCTCTAGTTCCTAATTTCACTTCCAGAACTGTTTTTTCTGTGTGTTCAACTTTATAAACATTATTAGTTATTATGGGGAAATGCAGAGATTATTTATTGATGGCTCTGTAGATTCATATTACCTAAAAAAATCCAAGAGAGTAATTTCTGTAAGTCTCATTGCAAAAACAGTTAGTATTTCTGCCCTCTAAAAATACTTAAACTATTTACTCAGCATCTTTTCTGAAGATATGCAGAAACCTGTATTGTGACTCATTAACTAAGCCACCAGGGTGTGCTCACTCTCCCTTCTAAGTAATGGCAAGCCCTTCACTAGGAGATTCCAGAAATTCCAATCTCAAGGCCCACAATGCAATGGAATATATACACAATGTAATCTATCTGTCTGTCCATCCAACCTAGAGGGGAATATTATATTTCTCTTTACTGACCTCATCACAAAGGGGATGGGACATTTGTGAATTTTATCTTTGGAAAAACTGATTTTGTTCACTTAGAAAAATTTACTTTTTTCTCTATGCAATAAAAATAATTCTGAAGGGTCCTCTATTTTCTTCATGCTACTGAGACACTGAAAATGAGAAGTTTAAACTGGTTACCAAAACAACAAGGACCTAAACTCATGTATTTTGAGGATGCTCTCATTAAGGTCTGTCTCCTTGCTCCCTCTTTCAGTGATAGTGAGGCAAGCTTTGGTTTTCTTTAACTGTAAGAAGAAATAACATAAGGGTTTTATTCTCAACTAATTTTCTGAAACTCTGTGCTCATAAAGGTTTAATCAATTAAACTTCACCGTATTGTGTTTCTTTTGTCCATGGAATGAGCTCTTTATTAAGGAACTGGAAGAAATCCAAGGCTTAAAATATCTAGTTAACTGACCAGCATCATAACAGTTACC